ATTTTAAAAGGGATATTCAAAAGTAAGTTACCAACACATTAATAAAGAAAACTGTTCGCCAAAAGTTCATGGGAAATGAAAATGGATACAGGCATCGTCTCTAGTTGTTTTCCATTCATATGCACCTTCTTCCAAATGCTGGGCCCTGAATGAGTGTGTGTTGCCTGATTTCCAGTGACCTCTCTATAGGCTTTTTCAAAAGTTGTGGATTCCATTAAAGTAGCTATTGTGTATTATTTATCGTTTTATTTCCAGTGCCTAGCACATGCTTGGCTCATAGTAGGCATATAATAAATGTTGACTTGAACTTTTCAAAATTGAATTTGGAGTCCAAAGTCTTGGTCTTTTTATTCTAGCTCTCCTACTCACTAGCTGTGTCCTTCAGCAAGTTCCTTTGGTGTTCTAGACCATCATTTCCAAATCTAGAGTAAGATTCCATCTAGTTCTAGGAAATTTGATACCAAATAGTTCAATAGTTGCTTATTCATATTGATTGCTTAATAAAATCCATTTGCAGGAGTAAAGCAGTTTGTCAAGTAGATCTCTCCTCATTTTGTGATGCTTGATATACATATATACAGATGTATATATACGTATACATATATATATGTAACATTTTCTTTCATTTCCAAATATATTCTTGCACTAGTATTCCTTATAGTTTGACCATTTTTTTCCTTATGGAATGAAAAATGAAGATGGAAGGAATTGCCTAGATATTTAATCCACTTCCTCATTTTACAGATGAGAAAATTGGTGCTCTGGAAGGCTATACAATTTGTCCAGAGTTATTTAATGGCAGAATTAGAACCCAAGTATCATGAGTCCATTTTCTACCTCAGATATCTTTAGGCATTATTAGCAGTTCCTTGGGATAAAGATTGAAGAAGAAATGATCAAAATAGCTAAATTTTTCTGTGTGGTTCTAAGAGGTACATAGAAAAAAAAAACAACCTCTTTTTTCTCAAACTTTCATTATAGCAGAACCATTTTTGTGCCTCACTTTCTGAAAAGTACAGTAAGGAAAGTAGGAAAACATAAAAATTGTAAGTTACTTTGTAAAAATATTCTATGACTGGTCCTTTCTTTTTCTTGAGAAATGATGGAGAGGGGAAAGAAAAATGTTATAATGGTTGAATTGTAGCCTGTGAGTCTACCAACATGTTTTTCTTTGCCTTTTTTATAAACCCAGGGCATCCTCACCTGTATAATAATAACAGCACAGTAGATAGAAACAGATACTGCTCTTCAGGTTACATGAAGGAATAACCAATATTCTTTTGCTGTAAAAATCCTTAACCCCACTTCTAGTTGCTCTAACATTGCCATAGGTAGCGCAGATTTTTTTTTTTTTTTTTTAAGGAGCACAGAAAGGACATTTCGTGCAGTTGAGAGAAGAACAGTTTGGGATCAGGAAATATACCCTAGAAGGGGTGACACTTGAGATTTTAGAGAAGGAATAAAAGCCAGACTACAAGGCAGTTTAGGGACATTCTAGGCAGAAGTGACAGCATGAGTAAGCATGAAAAGAAGAAACAGCTAAAAGTAAAGCGCAAGGATGTTTGGTTTGAGGGCTTAAAATGTGAAGCAAGGATTGATAGGATGTGAAGCTAGGCAGGGCAGATCCAAAAATATACCATGTTGAAGAGCTTACATTTAATCCCCTAGGCAGTGGGGAGCTTTTAAGGGATTTTTTTTTTTTTTAATGGGGAAGGGATAATAGGGTCAGATACTGATTTTAGATAGATTAGTCTAATAGTTTTAAAAAGAATGGTTATATTAGTTATCTAAGAATGCATAACAAATAAAAAAAACCTAGTAGCTAAAATAATGGGCATTATCTTATAGTTTTGGTTCAGGAACCTGGTCATAGTCAGTGAGGATCCTTGGCTCAGAGTCACTCACAAGATGGCAGTCAAGGTGTCAGCCAGGGCTACAGTCATTCTAAGGTTCATTTGGGGGAGAATCCACTTCTAAGGTCACTGAAGTGGTTGTTGAAAGTACTGAGTTCCTTTTGGACTATTGGACTGAGGGTCTCAGTTCCTCCAAGGAGGCATCCCTCAGTTGCTTGTCACTTGGGCTTTTCCTTAGAATAGGTCACAACATGACAGCTGTGAGCAAAGTGAGAGCATAAGAGAGCAGGGTGAACAAGATGGAAGCCAGAGTCTTTTAACCTGATTTTAGAAGTGCCATGTCCCACTTTTGCTGTGCTGTATTCAAGTCACTAGGTCCAGCCCACACTCAAGAGTAGGGGATTGCACAAGAACATGAATAGTAGGGAGGCATGGGCCATTGGGATCCATCTTCGAAGCTGCTTATCACAATGGACTTGAAGTAAGACTAGAGGCAAAAATGGCCCGCTAGGAGGCTATTATAATAATCCAAGTGAAGATGTAGAGATTATTGTAGACAAGTGTAGTAGAATGACAAGGATGGAGGCAAGAGAGATTTAGGATGTTAAATCTTGAGAACTTAGTGATTGAGAGCACGGGGGTTTAAAGGGAGAAGAAGGAATTAAAGGTGGCATCTAATTATTCGTACTTAGCTCTTCATCTGACTAAAGAATATTTTCACTTGAATGTGACTTAACCTCCTGTCTACACTGAGTTTTCATCTTCACTACTGCCATTCCCTCCATGCTTTTTGTCTTTTGGACTTGTCCTTGGTGTCACTTCACTGTTTCTTCACTACATCCAGTTAGACACCAGTTATTTCTCTCCATATCTGTTTAATTTTCCTAGTTATCTCTGTTCCTATCTTACTTTCATTATCCAAGTACTTATCACTGTGCACTTAACGTGTGGGAACAGTCTCGTAATTGCTTCCTTCTGCCCATTTCCTATCTTTAATCTAGATTCTAAAACATCTAATATTTGCTTATCTATCATTGATTTAACCAACAAGTATTTGTTGTGGGCTGACTTTGGAACCAGCACTTTACTAGGCCTCCTTGGGAATTGTGAGGAAGACAAGCATCCTCTCTGTTCTCATTGTCTTTGTTCTTTGAATGTCTCCTCTTCCTTTCCACCTGTCAGAAACATCACTAATTTTGGGGGGTGTCTGGCTGGCTCAGTCAGAGGAGTACATGACTCTTGATTTTGGAGTTGTGAATTCAAGCACCACATCAGATGTAGAGATTACTTAAATGAAAACAAAACTTAAAAAAAAAATATCACTAATATTTAAGGTACATTTCAACTTCTGCCTATCTTGAAATATATGTTTCTTTTGTCTCTGTCTCCTACAGCTGTAACTAGAAGGGATTTTACTTTGGAAATTTTGAGATTGTCCACATTTAAAAGAGAGCACTGGCTTAAGTTATTAGTGCAGTGAAGCTTTTTCTGACCTCCTTTCTCAGTCTGCTTCAAGCAGTAGAGCTGTGCCTGGCCACCCTGACCCACTGGAATCCTGTGGAGAGCTTTTTTTTTTTTTTAATTTTTTTTTTTTAATGTTTGTTTATTTTTGAGACAGAGAGAGACAGAGCATGAACGGGGGAGGGGCAGAGAGAGAGGGAGACACAGAATCGGAAGCAGGCTCCAGGCTCTGAGCCATCAGCCCAGAGCCCGACGCGGGGCTCGAACTCACGGACCACGAGATCGTGACCTGAGCTGAAGTCAGACGCTTAACCAACTGAGCCACCCAGGCGCCCCTGTGGAGAGCTTTTTAAAAACATATGCCGTGGAATACCTGGGTGGCTCAGTTGGTTGAGTGTCCACCTCTTGGTATCGACTCAGCTCATGATCTCACGGTTTGGGAGTTTGAGCTCTGTATCGGGCTCTGCACTGACAGCATGGAGCCTACTTGGGATTCTCCTCTCTCTTCTTTCTGCCCCTCCCTTCTTTGTGCGCTCTCTCTCTCTCTCTCTCTCTCTCTCTCTCTCCCCCTCAAGATAAATAAATAAAAACTTTTAAAAATAGTAAACAAATGAGAACAGATGCCTTGACTTCCCTTCAAAGATTCTGATTTAATCTGTCAGAAATGAAAACAAGTAAGACTCTAAGGTGAATTTGATGTCTAGATAGTTAAGAGAACTACTGCAGTAGAGTCACCCTCATCATTGTACTGTTAGTTGTTTTGTGGACATTTAACCATCCAAAGAGCTTAAAGTAGTGATTTCCAAATACTGGTGGAGGACTGGCTACAGCAATACACACAGACATTCAGACCCTGTCACTAAAGGTGCTGATGCACTAGATCTGTGGTTATATGGAGGCTTCTCTACTTTTTATTTTATTTTATTTAAAAATTTTTTAAATCTATATTTATTTATTATTATTACTATTATTATTTTTTTTTTTTTGAGAAAGAGACAGAGTGCGAGCAAGGGAGGAACAGAGAGGGAGACATGGGATCTGAAGCAGGCTCCAGGCTCCGAGCTGTCACACAGAGTCCGACGCAGGGCTCAAACTCACGAACTGTGAGATCATGACCTGAGCCAGAATCAGACGCTTAACTGAGCCACCCAGGCACCCCTCCTTTCTATTTTTTAAATAATGAAAGATATATAACTGGTAATGAAAGATATATAATTGATATGTAATTGGGCTGTAAAAATATTGGATGAACGGGCTAATATACCATATTAACTTTTTGTATTTTTCCTTACAATACTATTCAGATACATACATGTAATATTTGATAAACAATAAGGACCAGTTGGCCATTGTATATTTTATAGATTACATTGGAAGATTCTGGTCAATTGAAATAATGCTTTAAATAGCAGTTGAATGACTCCTATGTTTAGATTTTTGATGCTTCAATACTATTCAGTAGTATAGTTCAGTGTTTCGTATGTTAGTGCACTTTATCTAGCTCTTTTATTTTTAATAATAACTTAACGATCACAGGACAAATTTAGAACAATGACTAGATTCTTTCTTCTTCATATTATTCTGATAAATCTTACTATGCTCTAGTATAGGGAGGTATATTATTACTTTCTTGCAGAATGGGATTGTCAGAATGGATTTAATAAATGTTTTCTTCCTTTTCTTTAGCGTTATTCCTCTTTTAAGAGAATCTGTTGGCATATTAATGCAGAGAACCCCTCCAGTGTTGGAAAATACTCTGCCTCAGTGCTATCAGAGGGTAAGTTTCAGAGCTTCCAAGCCATTAAATTTTATGTTGTTTCCAAGCTGTTAGGGTTTTTAACTTTTACAAATGTGGGTAGCATATGTATATAATTTAGTATTTCTTCAAGATTGAATGCTGACCATGAATGCTATTTACACAAACCAGAATAAAATCATTGGAAAATACTGAACTTTACTAAGGAAAATGTGGTAGAACTTGTCCCCGTTTAGAATTTGAGCAGTTCTTTTAAAATATAGGTATGAATAGCAGATGATATAAGCATTTATTCAACCTGTATTTTTTGAGCTCCTACTTTGTGCCAGGTATTCTAATAAGGTACTAAGGATATAAGAGTAAGCAAGACAGACAGTGTCTCTGTTCTCGAAGAGTGTACGGTCTAGTGGGGAAAAACAGGCACTAAATACCTTGAGAAGTAAGAAAATATCCATGACGTTACTATAATAGAAATAAAACAAAGTGATGTGGTAGACATGGATGGTTACCTTAGATTCACTAAGGAAATTATATTCAAGGAAATCGAAACCTTGATGACATGAAGGAGCCAGCCTTATGAAAATCGTGGAGGAGAGGGTTTCAGGCAAAGGAACAGTTTATGCTTAGCGCAGAAGTTCTGTGGCTGGAACTAATTTTGAGTTGTGAGGAACAGAAGAAAAGGCTACTGTGGCTGGAGTGTAATCAACAAAGGGATGAGTGGCTGGAAAGGCTGCAGAGAATGGTAGGGGCCAGATCATACAGAGATTTTGGTCTTACCAAGAAGTTTAGATTTAATTTTAATCCAGTGGGAAGCATTAGAAAATTTTTAGGCAGGTACAGTGTCCTAAAACTTATGTTTTTAAAAGATTATTCTGCTTGCTACTGGAGAACAAATTCTAGAGAGAATGAAAGAAAGAAAGCCAGTGATGAGGCTGTTGTTATCTATGTGGGGAGAAATAGTGGCTAGGACTAAAGAGGTAGCAGTGAAGATGGAGGTAAGGACATATTTGGGATACATTTTCGGAGATGGATTATATATTAGTGGAGAGGAGAAAAAGTATTGCCTCTCAGCTAGGTAGATGCTGATACCATTTGTTAAGATTAATGTTGTATTGATGTAGGTTTGAGGATGGAAAATCCCCCAAATCAAGCGTTCTATTCTGCATATGTTAGAATTGAAGCACCTACTATTGGTATAGGGGAAATATAAATGCAGTGGTTGGATATGCAGATCTGATGTTCAGGGACAGATTAGGTAGGGCTAGAAAGAGTTTTGAGACATCAATATATGAATATTTGAAATATTAGGATTATATGAGATTACCTTGGGAGAATTAAGCTCTCTTCTTTTTACCTTTACTCTCACCTCCAGATTTACAGCACAGGCGGTAGAAAGCCAGGAAAAGGAGTGGTTAGTAAGGGAACTGGAAAACCAGAAGAGTGTAGTCTCTCAGAACTGAAGAAGGAAGCAGTAATCAACTGCCCTGAATCTTTCTGAGGGGCAAGCAGGGTAGGAACAGAGAAGTTACCATTGACTGGCATCATGAACATCGCTAATGACCTTGATAAGACCAGTTTCAGAGGAGTTTGGGGAGGAGAGCATGATTTGAGTAGATTAAGGAGAAAATGAATTGGGGAAATTAGGGATAGTAGCTAAGACTATTTAAGAAGTGTTGCTGTAAAACCCAATGTTTGTAGCAGCACTATCAACAATAGCCAAAGTATGGAAAGAGCCCAAATGTCCATCGATGGATGAATGCATAAAGAAGATGTGGTATATATATACAATGGAGTATTACTCTGCAATCAAAAAGAATGAAATCTTGCCATTTACAGCTGCATGGATGGAACTGGAGGGTATTATGCTAAGTGAAATTAGAGAAAGACAAAAATCATATGACTTCACTCATATGAGGACTTTAAGAGACAAAACAGATGAACATAAGGGAAGGGAAACAAAAATAATATAAAAACAGAGAGGGGGACATAACAGAAGAGACTCATAAATATGGAGAACAAACTGAGGGTTGCTGGAGGGGTTGTGGGAGGGGGGATGGGCTAAATGGGTAAGGAGCACTAGGGAATCTACTCCTGAAATCATTGTTGCACTATATGCTAACTAACTTGGATGTAAATTAAAAAAATAAACTAAATAAAAATTTAAAAAGAATAATAAAAAAAAATTTAAAAAGTAAAAAAAAAAGAAGTGCTGCTGTTAAAAGGAGCAAAGAAATGAGGTGACAGCCTGGTATGGATGTAGTATCAGGCAGTATCAGTTTTTAAAATAAGATATTTTAGAACAGTGCTGTCCCATAGAACTTTCCCCAGTAATGGAAATATTGTATAATCTGCACCATCCAGTACAGAGATCAGAAACAGCATGTGGCTATTGAGCACTTGAAGTATGGCTAGCACAACTGACTTTGTTAATGTATTTTAATTCTCATGTAGTTAAACAGGCACATGTGTGTAGTTATTTCTGTATTACACAGTGTAGTTCAGGAGCATGTTTGTTATTGATAGGAATGGGCCATCCTAGAGGAAGAAATCGATGGTATGGTAGTAAAGGTGGTTATTGAAAGAATGAAGTTCTTAAGAAGAAAAAGGATAGAACTGAAAGCCCTATGGGGGAATTCGGTGTAGAAGGAAGCCAGGGGTACTGTATCCCTGGAGGGGGGGCCAGAAAGTGCTGACATAGGGTTCAGTCAGTTAAGCATTGACTTTGGCTCAGGTCATGATCTCATGGTTCCTGGGTTCAAGCCCCGTGTCGGGCTCTGCCCTGGCAGTGTGGGGCCTGCTTGGGATTCTCTCTCTCTGCCCCTCCCCTGCTCGTATGTTGTCTTTCTCTTTCTCAAAATAAATAAACTTAAAAAAAAAAATGTGCTGACATAGATGAGGGTCAACTGGTGGATTTGGTGGTATAGGATAAGGGATTTTCTATGTACTTTTATTTTCTTTATGATTTATAAGGCAGTGTAATCAAACAAAAAAGCTTAGAAAGCCAGAGGAAAAAAGAAGAAGGTGTAAAAGGGGGTTTTTTTTGAAGGAGGGAAAGTGAAGTGTTGCCCATTTTGACATTTGTGGTTATGATTGTAAGGTAGGATAGTCATCATAATTATGACTAATTATGAATAATTAAGAGAAGGGAGCAATTTATTGACTGTTTACTATAAAGCTGGTTCCTGTACTAAGTATTTTACATATATTGTTTCTGGTCTTCACCATATTTATACAGGGTAAGTTTTATCGTCCTTTGCATAGGTAAAATTGAGGCTCGGAGAATTTAACTCATCCAAGGTCACAAATGCTAGTGGCTGAGCCAGCATTCTACTCCTTATCCATCTGACTCCAAAGCTCATGCCCTTTCTGTTCTACCACACCATCAGAGTAGGAAAAGCAACACAGATTTTCATCTGTAACTACAGTTTCCCCGTATTTTTTAATGTGAGGAGAGTTAAAGTCAGTTTGTCTAGGAATCATACCTTAGTCTTACTACAAGAGTACTTGCTTTCTTAGAGGTAGAAGAAATCTATTCAGTTGGTTATTTCACTCACAGTATATCCCCTGAAGATGCCATTTAGAAAAATGTAGGGTGATAATCAGGTTCTAGCCACTACATCATCAGAGTCCTGAAAGAGGAAGAAAAAATACACCTTGACCTCTTTTCCCAGTAAAAGCAGTTTTTAAAAAGGGCATGGTGGGTAGTGTCTCAAATTTCCTACCAACTGTCTTGGAGTTTATAGAAAATAATGCCTACGTTCATCAAATTCTGATAAAAATGAATGTTTTTGATAGATCTAAGTTCCACTTTCTTAATTAACATTCCAAATGGATTACTTAAAAATCAGAGAATCTCAGAATTGAAAAGGATCTTGTCTTTTTGGTAATAGGCATTCTAACAGGTGTAAGGTGGTAATTCATTGTGGTTTTGATTTGCATTTCCCTAGTGATTAATGAGTTGAACTCCTTTTTACCTGTTGTTCATCTGTATGTCTTCTCTGGAAAAATGTCTATTCTAATCCTCTGTCCATTTTTTTTTAACGTTTATTTATTTTTGAGGGAGAGACAGAGCATGAGTGGGGAAGGGGCAGAGAGAGAGGGAGACACAGAATCCGAAGCAGGCTTCAGGCTCTGAGCTGTCAGCACAGAGTCCAACATGGGGCTTGAACTCACGAACTGCAAGATCATGACCAGAGCCAAAGCCGGATGCTTAACTGACTGAGCCACTCAGGCACCCCTGTCCATTTTTTAATCAGAGAGTTTGGTTTTTTGCTATTGAGTTGTATGAGTTATTTTTATATTTTGTATATTAACCCCTACATATTCAATTTTCAATGGTCCTTTCCCACATTTACTTTTTTTCTCATATTACAGCATTTTCTGTATTTCCAAAAACGTATCCATTTTGTTTAGGTTTTCAAAATCATGTTTTTATTTTGTGTGTGTTTATGTATATATATTATACACACACATAGACACACACACAATTTACTGAGCAACTTACTTGGGGCAGGAATTGTTTTTAGGTGCTAAGGATACAAAACATAAAAAAACAAAAATACATCCCTGCTCTTATTGAGCTTAAGTTCTCCTGGAGAGACAGGCAATAAAAATTATGAATAATATAAAGGAGTAATGCAATATGTGACAATATGCTCTAAAAAGTAAAAAAAAAAAAAAAAAAAAAAGCAGAGAAACATGAAAGTGAAAACATTATCTTAGATAAAGTAACAGAAGACCCAGAGCACAGAGTTACAGTAACTTACTGAGATGACATTTGCCTAAAAACCCACACATAGTCGAGTGAGTAGAAATCAGGAAGGGAGGTACACTGCAGGCAGAGGGAACAGCAAATACCCAGAGGCGGGAGTGTGCCAGACTTTTCAGCCAGTGGTGAGGACGCTGGTTTAGCTGGGGAAGAAGGAGCAAGGCCAGGGCAATAGGAGATGAGGTGGTCAGGTAAAGGGGGGGCCATGTGACACGGGTCCGTTAAGTCATCGTGAAAACATTGGTTTTTGTTCAGTGTAAGATGGGAAGTCCTTGGAGGATTTTGAACAGGCAAGTGGCAGCATCTGACCCAAACTAACAGGATCGCACTCGGGCTACTGTGATGAGAATAGATGGAAGAGGTGCAAGAATAGAAATAGAGCAGTTATTAAAATATTTTATTATTGGGGCGCCTGGGTGGCGCAGTCGGTTAAGCGTCCGACTTCAGCCAGGTCACGATATCGCGGCCCGTGAGTTCGAGCCCCGCGTCAGGCTCTGGGCTGATGGCTCAGAGCCTGGAGCCTGTTTCCGATTCTGTGTCTCCCTCTCTCTCTGCCCCTCCCCCGTTCATGCTCTGTCTCTCTCTGTCCCAAAAATAAATAAAAAACGTTGAAAAAAAATATTTTATTATTATTATAATTATACTTGAGATAATAATACTTGATGTATACTTGAGATATATTTGAGATATAATCCAGACTTGAGATAATGCTGTCTTCAGCTAGGCTGATAGCAGTGGAGATGGTGAGAAGTGTTTGGATTCAACTTTTAAAATCTGTTGTGTGTAGTTGGTTTCCCTTTTCATTCTTTTTTTTTTTTTTTTTTTTAAACCTCCATCAGAGGTTGTCTTCCCAATGGTTGTCAGCTTAAGGACAACCTTAAGGAGCCATTGGAAAAACTTAGCGACTTCTCTCTCTTTTTTGTTATCACATGATTCAGAGAAGGGTTTGTGTTGGCATTTAGCTCCTTGGGGACTTGGGGATGCAAAGGTCTTGTAGTTTCTGGCACAGTGAAGAATTGTCCTGTCCAAAATATGCCCCCTTTAAGAAATACTGACTTCTCTACTTCACTAATCTTTCAAAGAGCTACTTTTTTGATAGTGTGAATTCTAACAGTTTCTAAATCTCTGGTTCATTAATTTCTGTCCTTTATTTCCTTCCTTCCAATTTCGTGGAGTTCACTTTGTTGTTCTAGTTTCTTAGCTCATTTGTGTTCTCTGATCAATGTATTTGAAAAGTGAAAATTTCCATCTAGGTGCTCTGTTAGCTGTACCCTACATATTTTGATAGGGCTTCATTCATATTTCCCAAACACCTGCCACAGCACATAATGAGTACCCAATAGGTATTTGCTAGTTAATTCAAATATCTCCAGCCCCTTTTTACATTATTTTTAATGTTTATTTATTATTGAGAGAGACAGAGACAGAGTGTGAGCAGGGGAGGGATAGAGACAGAGGGAGACACAGAATCCAAAGCAGGCTCCAGGCTCTGAGCTGTCAACACAGAGCCCGACATGGGGTTCGAACCCACGAACTGTGAAATCATGACCTGAGTCAAAGTCGGACCTTTAACAACTGAGCCACCCAAGCACTCCACTCCAACCCCGTTTTTGAACCAGAGAATAGAATCCATGTTTACTGCAGTGCCACGTAATAATATGATAATATTATGGTTAATAATTTAAGTAAGAGTTTACTGAACTGTTGCATATAATAATAATTAAATAACATACATAATAAAATAAGGGGGCCCTTGTGCTTGATTACGGTGCTAATATCTGTCCTTTATATTTTAGGTGCAGCAGTTACAAGGAGTTTACAGTTTACAAGAACAGCACTTCTGGACCTTATGTTCTGATGTTTACGTTGGGACCTTGAAATTAGTAGTAGCACCTGATGCTGATGCCAGGTGGATTTTAAGCCAAACACATAACATTTTTACTCAGGTATGACTTCTTTTATTAACTTCTTAAGGATCTTTGAATTTATCTACTAGCTTAAAAAATATTTACTATTTAACAGAGTAAATACTTATATCTATCCTATCCTATGAGGAAAGTATAAAGGTACTTTTTTCACTCATACTGTCAAATTTGGGATTCTAATTTTAGTTAATACTCTTAAGGAAGATATTCCTATTTACTCATTATTGCACTAATTTGAATTCTTTTAAGAAAAAGTAGATCCTCCTTTATTGTATACTCCTTACAAGGCATATTAAATGCTTTTTAAAGCCAGGAACTAAAATAGCATTTGGAATAAGAATAATGCCTTGTCAGTGGCTTTAGCTAAAAGTAGACTGTGTTAGCAGTTTTGTATGATAGCAAAGCCATAGTTCTGTGTTGATGTAAAAGCTTAATATGCTGTTGTGTTTGGGTTCATAAATTAGTCAATGCATTCCTGCAACCAAATTATTTCATTACATTAATGCTTAAGCCATCGTGGGTTGACATAGTCATGTGACCAATAACCATTGGAGGAGTGATTACTGTGTTCTTCTCTTATCTATTGGGAGAATAAGAACATCTAAGGAGAGAGTGAGAAAATAGAAATTCTTCTCTCACTCCAGTTTGCTGGAAACATTTGGCAAAATTATCTAGATGTTGACACTGCTGCCAAAATTATCTAGCACATAGATCTAGTGAGGAACTGTTTCCATGCCTTGAAACTGTGTGCTTTAAAACTGGCACATGCCTCCTGGTGTGAAGCAGTGAGAAGCATATAACACCACCTGTGTGGTATTCTTGCCAGAGAGGGTTAACGTGAATCTAATCACTAGCAAACAATCAGACAATCCCAGTTTGTGGAAACTTCTACAAGACTGTTAGCCTGCATTGTTACCAACTGTCAGTGTCAAGAAAGGGGGAAAATAACCACTAGGGGATTATGCTAGATTAGAGACTTCACAATTATTTTTTTTTTTTTAATTTTTTTTTTCAACGTTTATTTATTTTTTGGGGGACAGAGAGAGACAGAGCATGAACGGGGGGAGGGGCAGAGAGAGAGGGAGACACAGAATTGGAAACAGGCTCCAGGCTCCGAGCCATCAACCCAGAGCCTGACACGGGGCTCGAACTCACGGACCGCGAGATCGTGACCTGGCTGAAGTCGGACGCTTAACCGACTGCGCCACCCAGGCGCCCCGAGACTTCACAGTTAAATGCAATGCATAATCCTTGGTTGAATCTTGGATTGGAAATAAAAAAACAGGCACAGAGGAAATTATTGGGTGATTGGGCAGTTCGAATATGGACTGCATAATAGTTCATAATAATTGTGTAGGTGTTAGATTTCTTGGGTGTGATAATGATATTGTGGTTATCAAAGAAAGTTCCCATTCTGAGCAGATACATGCTGAAGGATTTAGCGGCAAAGGATCAGGATGTCTGATTTTCAAATGGTTCAGCAAAAGTGAAAAGATTCCTTTTAGAGAAATAAAGGAAATGTGGCAGAATGTAGGCGATGGGTAGATAGGTATTTATCATAATATTCTTTTGATCTTAAAGTTTTTCAAAATAAAAAAGTTAAAAAATAAAAACTTTAGAGACTCCTCATTGCCACCAGGATAAAACCCAAACTTCAGCACAGCCCAATTCAGTTTTCAAGCCTCCTGTTCTTCATTCCTATGTACTTCATATCCCTCCAGACTATTTACTTTCCTGTGTGGGACAAATTGTACTCTGATCTAAAGGTCCATTTCAATTGTTACTTTCCCTCTGAAGCCTAAAAACCCCTCCAAGCAGCATTACTTTATCCTGTGATAACACATATTTATCTGCAGGTTCCTTCCAGACATCATGATTTTGCATTCCCAATACTTAGAAAAATGTACATGTATAATAAATTTGTTGAATAAACAAATTCTTAAAATTGTATTTGAACAAAACTGTCTTTACATATGCTAAGTATGGAAAAAGTATGGTTGGGTTCTCATTGGTCTTTTTAACCACAACACAAAAATACAGTCATGATATATACAGACACACACACACACACACACACACACACACACACAGAAAGGGAAAGAGGGAGAGAAAAAGGAAGAGAGGGAGAGAAACATCGTTATCTTCAGACATGGACAACAGAACATAATATGCAGTTTAGTTAAGTTCAGGACCTTAGTACAAATTCAATGACATCTCAAAAAAAATAGGAAAAAAAATGAAATTTCTCTTCTCTAATAATGAAAAATGTATGTTAATGTTCCTTGGGGGATAAGTAATGAAATAATTTTATGTATAGGCAACAGCAAGACTTACTCTAGTATAAAACAGTCTGCTGGTACCACTTACTCTGGGATCTGAAGAACTACGTGTCTTTTCTTAACAGACACTATAATAAGTCTGTATGATTATGACTTTCATGTCATAATGAAGTGTGCAAGACCTTCACAGTACGTCTGAATCCTTCTCCCACCTCCTTCCTGTGTTAGAGGCTAAAGGAGAATGTGGCTAGCAATAACTTTGCTCTTCCCCCGTTATTTCTAGATCATCATTCTCTCCTTTACCTTTTTCTTCTGGTTCTACCATGTCCTTCCACCCCCATTGTATGAGCCTCTGTTGACCTGTAGGACACACTGTACTCTTCTGTGACTTGGGCGCTTAGTCACGGTTTTCCGTCTGCAGAGGAAATGCCACTTCTAGGTTTAGAAATGCATAAGCAGCTGTGTCTGTGCTTAGGAACTGCTGAAGTTGTAACTGAAGTAGGTGGAGGACGTTCTTCTGGTAACCCTGGAAATCTTGGCTTTTCAAATGGCTGAAGCTGAAAGTTTATTCAGCTGCTTCTTTGGTTTTGGAGACTATATTTGGGTTTTGAAATTTTTAAGCTCTGAAAAATATTTTAAGCCTTTTCATCAGCCAGGGTCAAGCCACCCTCTTCCACGCTCAGCAAACACCAGGGATTTGCAGTGAAGATGGTTCAACACGTTTTTTCTAGAGGGGAGCGGGGGTCACCCTACTGATGTTTCATCCCATCCTTTAATTATTTTACAGTTGTTTGGTGATCATTGTTTTGGTTCTGACATAGCAGAAATTGAAGTTCCAAAAGACTGAGAAGGATCTTCTCAATAATAAGTTACACTTTTTGGTTTTATGACATTTTCAGGTGTCTTTCTTACAGCTGATCTTAAATCAGAATTTAAGTAATAGTTTTTGGTTAGTAAGTTGTTCTTGCTAAACTGTATATGAAGTAACCTTAAACTGAAAGGACCAACACCAGTCTGCGAATTATAATTTTCCATTCTGGTGATAAAACTGTAAGCTTCATGACTCTTTAGAACTGTATATTAGGCATGTCCTTTTTATTCTCATTTTCCTTGGTTATCAATTAATCTTTAATGGCAAAAGGAGTTGGCTTGTTGTGCATGAAGAGAGAGTAAAACAAGTGAATTGGTGAACTTAGATTCCTTAGGGATTTTTAGTTAAGGGATAATACGATTTTTAAACTACAAGGTTTTCTGTTGGCATAAAAAAAGTTCTCTCTCCCATTCTCCCCTGCACTAACTTTTAAAAAAATGAGTTATCATTTGGCAATTGAGGAGATAGAAAACTTATTTTTTATATTTGGTGTATGAACAGGAAGAGAAAGGATACTGGATTAAGACGGCAATTTAACATTTTATGTTTCTTTAAAACTTGCTGATATCATCTGTTAATTTTTTTAATATACTGTTTTGTTAGAAATAATGTTTGAAGAAAAAATCTCAAATATGCTTCAGTTTCATTGCCCTCTTCAGTTCCACAAAGCACTGAAGACAGTCAAGCTTAAGACATGCTCTTTATTCAGTGATAGAACTTCTATCATGATTTCTTTCATCTCTTCTACTCTCCTGTGTCTGTTATGCATATTAAGTCCTGAACCCCTGCTTCCTGCTTCAGCTTTTTGTGCTGTATTCTCTAGCCTCAAAATAGAAGTTCATACTGATAATCCAGGAAGGAACCAGAAAGCCTCTTCACATGCGCAAATGGGAGTTACCCACGTTTCAGGAACCTCCCCATCCCTCCATGCTCCTGATCCCTCCCTGTCTGACCATAGACCTCCCCCAGCCTCATGTCTGCTGGAGGGTAAGGGTAGCGAGTGGGAGAAGCTACCTACCCCTTTCCTGTTTGTAGATGGTTTTAATCTTAATTTTTATGTACCAATTCTGCTTCCCAACTCTTCAACTTTTCCTTATCCAACTTTACATTTTTTTCATTGTATGTGCACCTTCTGAGGACGTTGGAGCAAACAGCCGTAGGATGTGAGGCAGACAGGTCCCTAGGTTTATTGTTTTTAATTAATCCACAAGGTTTAAGCTTTCATTGGTTGGTTGATGGAGGGCAGAAAATAATAGCAGTAGCAAATCACCTTTATTGAGAGCCCACCAGTGCCAAGCATTTTGACAGGTGCTTAACATAATAATCTAGCCTTACAAAACAGGTTCTATTATTTGCAATTTTTAGAAGAAGGAACCCGGGCCCAAGTTATTGCTCATGACTTACAATTTCATCACATTCACCAGGGTGCCTGGCTGGCTCGGTTGGTTGGGCATCCATCCGACTTTGGCTCAGGTCATGATCTCACGGTTCATGAGTTCAAGACCTGCATCAGGCTCTGTGCTGACAGCTTGGTGCCTGGAGCCTGTCTCGGATTCTGTGTCTCCCTCTCTCTGTGCCCCTCCTCCACTCATGCTCCGTCTCTCTCTTTCAAAAATGAATAAACGTTAAAAAAAAATTAAAAAATAATTTTATATTCACTCGCTGTTTCACTAATTCTGAGATGCTTTCGTTTTATATGCAAGAGTAAGGCAGTTTTCAACACTTCAGTTTAAAAGGATAAAGTCAGGAGCGGCTGGGTGTCTCAGTCAGTTAGTTAAGTGTTCAACTTTGGCTCAGGTCATGATGTCATGGTCTGCGAGTTCAAGCCCAGCATTGGGCTCTGTGCTGACAACTCCAGAGCCTGCAGCCTGTTTCAGATTCTGTGTCTCCTTCTCTCTCTGCCCCTCCCCCACTTACACTGTCTCTTAAAAATGAATAAATGTTTAAAAATAAATAAAAGGATAAAGTTAATATTATATATTCAAAAACTAAAAAGTAGAAAGCTTCTGTAGAATTTGGTAGAGAACACAAACCAGAATTTTCTGTAGCCATTTTCCTGTTTACTTTCCTAATTTTTTAAAAGTTTCTGAGTCATTTGTCTTTCCACAACAGTGAGTATTTATTGAGGATTTTCTAAGTCTATGGCACCAGGTTAACATTTATTTTCTTAGCAGTGCACGTGTGTTAAAAAATAAGTCTTAGTTTTAAAAAGTGTTGACTGAATTCTGGTTTATATTACTCTCATGATATAAGATACAATGAATATTATATAGTTTTCACTTTTTAAAGACAATCCCCTGCCAGGCTATGACTCCTGGTGCCATCCCAGTGGTAGAATGTTTTAATGTAACCAAGCCCTGTTTTGATCTGCTAGAGTATTTGTCCTCTCTTTATGGTGAGTAAACTGTATTGAAAACCTGGTTTGCATTCAGGGAGTACATGACTCAGTATAGGATTCTTTGGCAATTCTGCTTCTCTACACTTTGAAGGAAAGGAACATGGGAAGCTGGAAGACTTGAGGCTGTCCCCCTCAGGACAGCTGGATGAAGCAAAATGACTGCTTCTGTTAGACCAAGCTTTTATGTAAAGCTGTAGCCTCTCAGGGGAAAGATATAAGCTTGAGTAATTAACTCATGATTATGCAAAGATCAATTTACCTAGCCTCTTTGTTTTTCCTCTTTTTTTATTGCCTTGGGCTAACCTCATTTCTTATTACCATTTTCACTGTAGTAGGGCTGGGAGTGAGGAAAGTGACAGGGCTAGTGACAGGAGCCCAACTTAGTTTGCCCATTTTACTTTAAGAATTTTGTTAAAAGAGACAAGAAATTAAGCCAGTTATTTGGGCCGAAGTTGTGTTTTTAAGGTCAGACATACGGGAATTTTGCAGAAGAGTTCCTTCATTATTTCAGAGGCCATCTGGGTTGAGTAAATCAAATACACTTACTTAGAATGAATCATAATAATTTGTTTCCGTAGACTTTAATAGCACATGAAATCCTTTCTTATATGTTCACATATGCTCCTTCCAGTAGTGCCTGGTATGGAACAAGGCTTTATTAAACATTTGTCAAATACTGGATGAACATGTAACAGTTTTGTGAGATGAGTAGGCTTGGTATGTATCGATGCTTTTACAATGAGACAATTGAGGTTTGTTCTAAATGTTAGCTCCAAATCCTTCTGTTTTCTGCCAGAAGCCTCTTTAAGGAGAGGCTGCTATTAAATGTATTTTCCGGAAATTTGAATAACAATTTTGAATAACAGCTTTAACTTGACCACAGCAAAGATTTATTTTATTATTATTTTTTAATGCAGCAAGAAAGCTGAAGGGTGTTCTGTGCTGGGAAGCTTCCAGGTCTCCCCAGTGTTTTATCCCATCAGAGTCGCTCCTGCTCCTCCCACACACCCATCAGTGCTGTGCAGAGCCCTCCGCCGTGAACGCTAGGAAATAAAGCCATGCTAGAAATTACCTCAAGATGGTAGTGTTAATAGATTTTTATCCCCCACTCTGGCTCTTTTCCTTCCCATTAATATTCTAATTTACCTTTCATTCTGTGGTACTGACAAGAAAATTCTTAAACTATTGTATGCTTTCATTTAAACAATTATTTTTATCTGAAAGAAGGAATTTAGTAGAATTTCTGTTCATCCAGTAAACATTTATTACTTACTCTGTGCCAGGCATTACTTGAGGTATAGAGGTCAGCAGTGAAAAAAAAGACAAAATCCTTTTTTTTGGAGAGATTACATGATAATGGGTGAGCAACAGTAAACACAGCAGCATAGCAAATGCTAAATTTTATAATGTGTCAGGAGGTGGTAAGTGTTGTGGATAGGGGAATCAGGGTTAGGGAAGGGTAGGGAGCATACTTGTTGGATAAATGAACCGAATGCATTTTATATAGGGTAGGCCTCACTGGTGTCTGACCGGAGAGGGAGCATGCCACATGGTTATCTCAGGGAATGCTGTTAGTGGCAGAAGGGTCGAGTGAAGCTGGAACAAGGGGAGAGGAGTCAGAGAGGTAATTGGGACCAGGTCACGGGGGTTTGTAGGCCACTGTAAGGACCAAGGAAGATGAGCAGTTGTAGGCTTTGAGGGCTGGAGTGATACCACTGCCACTGTTCTGCTGCACGTAGACCAAAGGAAGGCAAAGGCATGGGAACTAGATCGGAAGCCATTACCAAATCCAGGCAAGAGATGAGAGTGCCTCAGGCCAAAGTGGCAGCAATTGGAGGTGATGTGAAGTGGTCAGATTCTGGGACTGTGGTGTTTTGAAAGTGAGGCAAACAGGTATTCCTAATGGGCTGAGTGTGAGAGAAAGGTCTTTCAGTTGTAACATTAAGGGTAGGATTGAAGCGTAGAAGATGCAAGAGCACCACGCTTTGAGGGGAGGCAATAGTGTTCAGTTTGGCTGTGTTGTAATACTTGTCAGACATCTAGCTGAAACTGTCAAGTAGACGGTTGGTAGGTTCCAATGTGGAAATACAAATGTGGGAGGATGAGCATATACCTGGTACTGAAAGTCTGGATATTAGACGAGATCAGCTAGGGAACAGTGCAGAAAAAGAAGGAATCTGAGGACTGGGCCTTTGGGTAGTTAGTGCTTAGTATTCCAAGTTAGGAGAAAGAAGCACCAAAGGAGATTAAGGAAGACTGATAAATGAGGTAAAAAGTTACCAGTGAGTATTCTCTGGAAGCCAAGAGGGGAAAAGCGTTTTCGTTAGGAGAGGAGATCGCCTGTGTCCTTGCTGATAGACTAACTGCTAAGAGGACTGACAAGTGAGCACTGGTCTGAGCACCTTGGAGGCGACCCTGACCAACAGCTTTGCAAAGTGGTGGGTGGCAAAAGTTCAGCTGAAATGTGTTCAAGAGAAGAGAGAAAAGGAATTGTAGGCGGCAAATACACAAAAATTGGTAATGTAGGAGAGCTAGTGGCAATTTAGAGAACGGTCTTTGAATAGTGAGTTCATATCCAAAATGGAAGAGAGGAGTAGAATGTATTTAAATGACCAACAGATGGTCATACGTAAGTGTTTACTAATCATCTGTCACAGGGAGATGGGGCCTGGATCGATTTATGATTTTAGTAGCCAACTAAGCAAGCACTATGGTGTTCTCTGGCAGAGTAACAGCACACGGGTAACCTAATTGTTCCAAATTTCGCTGGGACATGGTTTATAATCAGTAGCATGGCTTTCTTACCTAGAGGCAAATGAAGGATGTTTTTTGCAACTTGTCACTATGCTTATTTCTAAAGTAACATTGCTGGCCCTTTATGATGAAAAATAGAGAATTATTGTTCCAAAGGCAGAAGAGAAAAGTAATGCTTTCCTTTAAAAAAAAAAAAAGTTTTTTTTTAAATTAATTTTCTGAAATGTGTAGTGTGTTATTGTTTGATTTTCTAATTTTTTTTTTTTTTTTTACTTTTCAGGCTGGAGTGAGACAGCTTTATGTACAGATTGACTTTGCAGCCATGTAATGAATGAAAAGAAATTGTCCTTTTTGGGGGACCCAATATTTCTGGTACTGTACAATCCAAAACACTGTACCTAGCTTTTAAGACGGAAATCGTCACTACAAATCCCCAGCTCCAAGTACACCAGGTAGCGTCAGCCTTTTGTGCTCTGCCAGGACTTCACAGCTGAGGGATCAGAGTTAAGAGGGTCCCTCCTAGACTGTTGGTCTTGTCTTTTGTGCTCTTCCCTCCAAACCATTTTGATTTCTGAGGTTTCTAGTTTTGTTCCAGGATGTTAGTTTTTGTTTCCTTTCTTTTCTTTTTCCATTTCAAAAATGCCCTCACTCCCAGTTCTCCTCCTAGCCAGTAAGAATTCGGACTATGGGCCTCCAGGCATCTGAATGTCTTCGCTGAAGCTGATGGAAGCCACTGCTTCCTTTCCACAAAACTAGTGTTACTAAAAAAAAAAGAAAAGAAAAGAAAAAAAAGAAATCATTTTATATGTAATGTCACGATTGTTGACGTTCTTCAGTATAATCATATGTTTGTAAAATTGTTTGTACCTTGCAAACTTATGAACCAAACCATATTGGGTTTTCAAAGTGCCTTTGTATCAGAAAATGTATTTGCCAGCATAAAAATGTACCATCAAAGGTCATGCATATGTTTTTTAATGGGTAATTCTGTAATCTGTACAAGGTGGAAGACTCTTGTTAGTGATGTATACAGATTGTCTTTTTGTGTCTTTCCAGCATAGGTTTAAATATATGAAAAGTTTCCCCTTCTGCTTTACCTCATCAAAAAACAGGTGTTATTTTGCTTTTTAAATCAAATTCAGTTATCACATTGCATTATTCCATGGACTGTATTTTCAAAACTTTGCAAAGCATTTGTTTTACAGACGGTTGTTTTGACTAACTTAAAACATCTGCTAAATCCCTAATTTCTCTAAAAGCTACTTGTCTGTGATAACCTTTGCTACGTCTCCTCGCTGTTGATGGATTTTCTTAATGAAAGGAAAGGCAATGTAGAGTGAAGGCAGAAATGGTTGTGACAATGTTATTGTGTTTTTTCATTCTTCAAATGCTAAGTCATACAATTTGTTTTCTTGTGCAAGCCTTGCACAAATACAGTTGCTTTCAGAAATCCTAAAAGCAACATTTTATTGAGTTTGAACTATTGCAGATACAGATCAGTTGTGATAAAACAGGTGTCTTAGAAGTAATAACTTGATTTCTGGGTTTTGGTGTATTTGAAAAATAAAATCGTGATTTGAGATGACAAGTGCTTGAACACTCAAAGATTCTCTGTGGTTTATGAAGAAATATTGATCTGGATAGACATTTACCCATTGTTCTTTGTTTTATCATAAGGTATCTTCCCTTTTAACTTTAAAAAACTGAATTCTTGGGGGAAAAAACCCTGCAGGATGGGAATACTTGTTTAGAATGTAAACCAATAATAAGCACTTTTTCACTGATGGGGCAGAAATCGCTGTTATTTTGTCTAAGTTATAGAGTATCTTTCTCCCTATTTCTGATCTATAGTTTATGAACTATAGTAGGAAAACTGGACTACTTTATGCTTTTCTAAACTGCTGCAGATTGCTATGAGTTGTTGACAGTCTCCGTTTTGCAGATTAAGCAGTATTTTCAAAGCATTTCTACTTACTGCCAGACAGTTCTGAAGCTAAGAATTCCTGCAACAGAATATGTTTGACGAAAACAACTGTTGAGATGTTTAAGGAGGGAAAGTATAAAAGGAAACGTCCTGATAATGTACTGCTTTTTCATTATAAGTCTAAGTAGTCATTTGGAAGTTTTCATCCACTACCAAGCCTGATAGAAGCCTGGGGTGTTCTGCGGGTTTTGGCATATTGTGGAAAATGTGAGTCTAGATGAAGGCAGGAATTTTGGTTGTGTGCCTTTAAAAACTAATATTATATGTAATTGTACTGATTGTTCACATGTGGAGATAATATTTGCACTGGCCTGTAAAACTGACCAGTGCATTTGCAGATGCGGTTCTGCCTTTCACCAAGCCCTCCACTCCAAGTGAAGTTTTGCATCATTTTAACTATATTCTCAATACACAAGTGCATGCGTATGTCTTTTCTTTGATAAGGCATTGAGCATACACATTATTAGACTGATATGGAACTCTAATTTTGCACCTGTTACAAGAGGTTGCCAGCTTGTATGATTTAGCAGGTTGGCATTTACATTTATGCTTTAATTAAATGTCCTTAAACCTGTGTGTGCAGTAAGGACAAATTAGTGTGAAAAAAAAGCAACTTTGTTCTCACAAATACTGTTATAACAAATACTCTGTCTCATCTGTGTTTTTGGCACAGGTGTACTGCTAAAATAGATAATTCCACTCAGAAACATTACCTGATTGTTGTTAAAGATTTGAGAGGTCTTTATTATTGAGCTAAGTAATTCTTGGGGCTCAAGGGAGGAGGATGAATCTCTGAGTAGAACTTTGCCAATTTTTTAAAAACCAAAATATTCTCTGGAGAACAAATTTGTTTTGCTCTGGGGCAGTTTACTTAGCAAGGTAAACTTCCCCAAACTGAAATTACCTATATTAGTTTTGCGTTTTGAAATCTAGATTATATTACTCAAAGGGCTTACTGTGTGTGTTTTATTTTGCTGACTCCCTGTGCACTTTTGTGAGGGGCAGTGTGTAATCTGTAGCTCCGTATTCTTCTCATTGTTGCCAAGCTGTCTTGTGCAGAGGCATAAAGAAGTAGTAGGTAGTGGCACTGGGATTTACCTTGTATCCAGATGCTTCGGCATTCTTCAAAGCCTACATGTATACGCCAGGAACCAAAATACTGTGACTTGTGCACCTTTGTAAAGTAGCCCAGTCAGTGACTCCAAATGTAGTTGATGAGAGTTCTATGATGTTTTTACCTACTATGGGATAATCAATTTTGTATAGATTATTAACATTGTGGCATGCTCCTACAATGCTGGGATTTAAGAACAAAAAGATTTCATTGCATAACAGAATTTTACATCTAAGGGACTGTCCTTAAAAGCAGTCTCATTCTACTTCTCATTTTAGAGATGAGAAAATTGAAGCCCAGAAATGCTGTCATTTACTCAAGGTCACAGAGAGAATTAGTGGCAAAGCCAAGACTAGAACCCAGGTCTTCTGACTCCAAGTCAAGTTCTTTCTACTCTGTTGTGCTGCCTCTCCAGTGTAATATTTGCCTTTCTGTAAATGTGATGAAAAATCATTTGTAAATAAAGGGAAGCTGACCTCCATTTTTGGTACATTAAGGCACTTTATAAATGGAGTTTTATTGTCTTGTTTTTCATAAGTAATTATGAGATTTAGAATATTATTTCCATACTTTCATTATGAGGTTTAGAATATTCTTTGTGGAAAATATAATTTTTGTACTCTTTTACTTTTTTACTCTTATGAAGCCAGTTCCTGATTTTTAAAATACAATGACATCTGTGCTCTTGGATACTTTTAACTTGTGAGTGAAATTTTCTGTTAATTGCTCGAGGCTAAACCCAGTTTAAGGATTGCTTAGTTTCTTTATTTTGTTTATATTCTCTGGGCTGGTACTTTTCAGAAACTAGGCTAATTCTCACGGGTTATATATACCATTTCAGTCTTGACACTTGGTAGTTTTATTACTTAGGGAGCTTTTGAGTTTTTAATATTTGTTCTCAGAGCCACACAAAATTGGGCATTAAATGAAATACAGAACCAAACAAGTTTTTTAAATCAATAGGGTGAATTTTTGAAGTCTTACCTGGACCCCAAATAATTCAATTGCTTACTTTCAACATAAAAGCATTACCTTGATAAAGTTAAACTTTTTTCTTTCTGTTACCATCTTCAAAACAAATTATTTTACAGTTCACAAGAACGTTGGCAAAAATAAATAAATGTTATTCTTTGAAGCTCACTAAAAGTTTTATTAATGGAAGATGGTTTCAAGACATGATCCACCAGAAGCCTTAGTCATCTAGATCTCTACCATAGAATCTAGACCCACAAATACAATGAAAAATTAGGTATCAAAAGAAAAACATTTGCAGAGAAGTACAGTTAAAAGCTAAATAGATGGGAGTCTTTTTGATGAGACCAACTTTTGGTTTATGTTTAACCATTTCCTAACTACAGATTAAAACAGAAAGATTGGGGGTCAACGTCTATTAGTATTTCTGTGTCAGGTTCTTTGTGTGGTCTTTTCCAGGTTATCACATTTGAAATCCTCATATTTCAGTAAAGAATTTTGCATGCTTTTATGATTGATAGAGCATTTTCAAATCCCACCCCAACCCCAGCTCTGGGAAGGAATTCTTAACTGCATTTTATTTTACAGATGAGGAAGCTGTTTTGGGAGACTTTAAATGACTTGCCTGAGGGATAGCCAGTGGTAAGGTACTGACCTTAAATCCAGTGTTTTTCTGATGACTGCTGTATTAAGTACTTCATTCTGCTGTGGTTTAAAGACCCAAGAAGTTGTAGCTGACTTAAACAGACTCTCCAGTAAAATCAGTGAACAATTACCATGACAAAATAGATTATGGTGCAATAGTTCCATATACATTGCTTAAATTCATTCCTTCATTCAGTGCTCTCATGCGTATTTCCTACCTTTGCCACTGAATTTAAACTGTGCAGCCACCTCACACCCCCTCCTTGCCCTGCAGGGCCCTTTACTAAAAAGAATAATCAGAATCAGTATTTCAAAATCTTTAGGAAAAAAAAAAGTTTTACTAATGCTCAGATTCAGCTGCTTAAAAAAGGGAGGGATTCAGAAGAGAGCCTATGTATGAGTAAGGAGAACCTGAACTCACCCTGGCTAAGAGAGAGGTTAACTTAATTGATAAGGGAATTCTCTTCCAAGAAGTACAAATAATTTGTGCTGCTGGAGAGGGATCTGAGGATTTGATTTACAACATTACATTGTACAGACACCTTTTCAAGGAAGAACTCTATTTCTTAATTAGTAGCAATCTATGCTTAATAATAATACTGAACTTTGAACTCTTCCTGAGGCTTTGAAAATTTAGTATTTGCAATTCTGGTAATATTGGCAAGTTTGTAAAAAAAAACAAAAACAAAAACAAAACAACAAAAAAAGTGTCTCTCTATCCATCCCATTATCCCCAAACTTAGCACGAGCTTATATGCTCAGTAAATGTTTGGTTAACTAGTGAGTAACTCTTGTAGATGGTAGTGGATACAAAAGTAAGTATGGGCTGTGGACAGAGAGAACCAGTAATTTATTGTTTATTACAGAAGACACCTCAGCTTTTCTTTGGCATTTTTGCACAAGTAAGTGACTTTGTATTCACTTTGGCCATTTTTTTTCAAGGAACCCTGTGAGCTGCTTCTCAATTTTAATCCAGGAACAGTAGACCAAGTATAGAGATGTTATCCATGTTGTTGGATAGGAATTTGGCAGAACTGGGACCGTGGAAGCTGGGTCACTTGAATTTTTACATTATGTATTGCCAAATGAGAAACCATATTGCCTCCTTGGTTTCTATGGAAAATTGCCATATTCCTATTACTTTAAGGATCTGTGTATAACATACTTTGTTTCATTTATCCCCATATATAGGACTATCCAAAACTCTTAGTGGTATATCCTAAAGGTGCTTCCAAAAAAACAAACACTACGTGTATTAAGTGATTTAAATATTTCTTAGCTTTTTTTCCTTTTTTCCCCTTTCCCCTCTAAATCTTAAATTTTAGTAGAGCTTCTCTATATTTCTTATTTTTCATCTCTTTTAATTAATTGCTGCTGCCACGGTAAAATTTCCCTTTTACTAAGTGAAAAGATAGCTTTATTTTTAATTTTAGTATTTGAATTTTGTTTATGTACCACGTATCATGCATTAGTTAGCCTCAATGAAGATTTGGTTTTGAACTAGAAGTATCCTGTCAAGAATTTGCTAAGTAATCCCATTGCTTCCTCTGATAGCAAAATTTCAGAGATATTTCTTCCCAACTGATACTTTGACCCGACATTGGTGAGTTTGATCAGTAAACAGAATGGATCTTTTTATATCAGAAATACTGTGAATTAAAAATTGCCAAATCCCTTCTCAGTATATTCTAAATACCCCTACAACATCTTACCTCCCTGTCTTTTCCTGCCAAGTTTGAATTTGGGTTTGATTCCTTTGGTGAAGATTATGGGATCAAAACATTTCTAAACAAATGTTTGAGTACAAGGCTAGATTGCAATGTCAAATTTCAGACTGTTGTACTTTGGTTTGAATATGCTAAAGTGAACAATTATGATTTGCCTAAGTGTAATACAACAAATCCATCCTGTATATTTCACTTTTTTTCTACTTGAAGACATTCATGTATATATTTTAACTTCAGATGTATTTAAAAAGAATAAACAATTTTAACAAAATTCTTCCAATAAAATTTGTTTCAAAACCTTCACCTGAATTGTGTCTATTAGTTTGACAAATTGAAAGGAACACTGTGAACCAAACAAGTATTGGAATCAATCCTAGAAGTCTTAAAGAATGGTGTTCAAGACCAAAAAACAAGAAAACTCACCAGAGAGAGGAGATGCTTGGAGATTGGTAAGGTCTTAACATGTGAAGGCCCTCATTGTGGCTCTGATTATTTTGCCTGATGAACACCATCTCACAGTATTTGTTTCCAGATATTTGGATTAACCCTGAATTATTCTTTCACCTCATTCCCTGTGTATGATATCAGCTTACAAGAAATAAAGACCAAAACCAGACATGAGCCTCTGTTATCTTTCCAAATTTTTTCCCTCTATTCAGAAGCAGTTAAAAAAAAAAAAATCACTCTCCACAAAATCTAAGATCCCACTCATCCCACCTTCTCACACATAGTCTATTAAAGCAGCCTCTTTACTATTAATCTCTGTTCTGTAATAAGGGCTTTATCTTTAGTGTGTCTACTGTTGACACCTTTTCTGTGGTCTGCATGTGCTTCTAATGTGTCCTTTCTAACCATGTCCATAGCTCCTGCTGATATGGCTTTGCTCTTCTTTATATTTTAGAAGTTAATCAGAGGCCATCGTGGCTTAATTCTGGTTACATTCATACATCTCAAAATCAACAAAGAAAAAAAATGTATTTTTTTCCCCACTCAAATCTCTTCTCAACTACCAGTTTCTGTCAGACTCCCTTACATAATGCTTGGAAATCAAAACACTGCTTTTGCCACCTCCATTTTCTAAATTCCCTATTGCAACATCCTTCCCTTCAATCCTTTGATGTCTTTTAAATTCACCTTTTCCACTTCCACTGCCTTATTCCGGGATGTCCGTGATGAGTACATGCATGTGAGACTACCTAGCTTCCTGTCTTTTTCATGCCCAGCTTGAGCCACCTCCATGTCAGTCCCCGCCCCCCAACCCCCGCCTCCCCATATCACCACAAACACAATTCTGGCCATAGGCAGGAAGTACAAGGGATTTCTGCAGAATCAGACTTTTGCCCAAGCATTCTGAAAACATTCCCCTACCCTGGCTTCCTGATTACTTTCTGTTGGCCCTTCTGTACTCTGGACTTTGACCTGCTAGATCTAGAGCACCTGCCAGGACTCCCTGCCTTTCCTGTGTTCTCTAGAATTAGCATCTGAAACTACAGTGGCCCATCACCACGCCCTCAGAGCAGCCTCTTCTGTTTATATACTGGTGTAAGCAAATTATTTACTACAATACTCCACTACCTCATCTTTATCTAGAGTTTTTGTTTCCTTCCCCACAGAAGCCACCCTGTTACTGTACTGACAGACTAAGTGCGCTTCTCAGTTTTCGGTATCAGTCCTCCAGCTCAGGAATCTAGTGGCTCCCTAATGCTCATCAAATACAAATTCTTCTGAACAACTTTAGAAACTCATAATGCTTTTCCTCTCCTCCCTGTTCAATGTAATTACCCACAACATGGCAATAAGCAAAATAATCAACACTCTAGACCAGGGAAAGAGCAGACAGGGAGAGACCAGCAGGCCCAACATGCAGATAGAATGACAGCAATTCAGTATTTTTCATTCTGGAAAAGCAAATGAAGGTAGGAATGGTGGGAGGGAGGAAATAAATGAAAGAAAAAGAAAACCGCCTTTCAATGAGATTCTAGTTCATTCAAACAATCTGTCAGCTCATCCAGCCTTATTTCCAGGTTAAAAAAAAAAAGGGTTTAAAAAAAAGTCTACCGTATTTCAGACTTAGCACATGCTATTAACTTTAAATGTGCATTTCAATGTTATCTGCTAAATTTCTATAACCAAGAGAAGTAATAATGGTAACAGTAAGATAATACTCAAAATGTATGGAGTCTGGCACACTTTAGGCAATCAAAATTTATTGGGAAAATTGATTAATTTAATATGAAGTTTAATTCCTCCTTGGAAAATGTTTCTGTATACACTTTCAAGTAAACTGCAAGCCACTGCTAAAATCAAAGAATTAAAAACAAAAAAATTAAAAAAAACAAAAGCATATGAAAGTATTTCCTGAATGTAGGCAGATAACAGTATTTTAAAAGAGTGACACTATATAAATAAACATGAAATTCAGATTCATATCTAATCTTAGTACAGTTTCACATCAATTAAAACCCTACTATTTGGCTTGGACTTTTGAAAATAACATACCACTTCCAAAATGATAAATATCTATCTGATTAGCCATCACTCTCCCCACCCTAGGCATTAAGTGAGGTCAGACTGTTGTCCAACTTTACAGGGGTTATCTGTCCTGTATGTGCATCATACTACTTCCCCTTGAGCAATACTTTGTACACAGATGATAGATTTCTACAGAACTTCACAACAACAAAACAAAGTTACTACACTTGTAATAATAATAGTTGAAGCAAAGGCTTCTTATTGGCTTCCAGAGACTTCCTCCAAGCAATTCTGTAGTGGTGACCAAAAACCATGGAAATCCACAATAGCTATCAGCAAGAAGGGAATTTTTCTCTGTTTCCTAGAGCTGTGGTTTCAAAAGCATAGAGCAACCCCCTGTTGCTTTTTTTCTTTCTGTCCCTCCACATGGGTCAGGATGTAGGCTCAATCATGAAGCTCTGAGACAGACAGCAACAGAATAGAGTAACTAGAACCCCAAGTTTCTGGCAGAGGACTGAAAATGAGGAAGTGGCAGAGAGGTCATGGAATGGGAGGGGCACAGGAAAGCAATCTCATAAAGTTGTTTACAAACCCCAAGGGACATGCTCAAGTCACTGATGCTCGGATCTGCTCCTACTCAGCATACCAAAACACCTTCAGAACTAAACTATCCAATCAACTAGGTCCCAGACTGTCTAGGTCCCACACTGAGTAGCACAAACTTGAAATAGATCCAAAGAGAACCGCAATCCTTGAAAAGTGAACTGACACTGGAACCATAGACCACAGGTAGATTGGTTATTGCAACCTGAACCTAACCAGGTTGACTGCCTGTTAGAATAAATAGATTGGCATTCTCCATAGAATCTAAGCAAGATCTAGAATGAATCTTCTAAAATAATATTTACAATGTCCATACTATAATCAAAAATTACCCTGCAAAGTGCCACAAAAATTTCAACTTATGTTAGAAAAATAATAGATGAGGCTGAGATGACATCAATATTGGAATTATCTGAGAAAGACTTTACAGCAGCTATTATAAAAATACTTGAATAAGCCATCAGAAATAATCTTGCAATAAATATTAAAACAAAATAGAAGATATAAAAAAGAAACAAATGGAAGTATTAGAACAGTAACTCAAATTTAAAAACACACATACAAATGGATTCAACAGCAAATGCAGCAGAGGTAAGAGTTAATGAACTTGAAGACAGATCAATAAAACTTATCCACTCTAGGGATGTCTGGCTGGCTCAGTCAGAAGAACATGAAACTCTTGATCTTGGGGTTGTGAGTTCAAGACCCACACGGTGTAGAGGTTACTAAATCAATCAATAAACTTAAAACAAATTATCTATTCTGAATGGCAGAGAATAATAGCCGGAAAAAAGGAAAGAAGGAAGGAAGGAAGGAAGGAAGGAAGGAAGGAAGGAAGGAAGGAAGGAAGGAAGGAAGGAAAGGAGGGAGGGAGAGAGGGAGGGAGGGAGGGAGGGAGGAAGGAAGGAAGGAAGGAAGCAAGGAAGGAAAAGAGCTCAGAGATCTGTGGGACAATAAGAAATGTCTAACACTCATGTTATCAGAGTCCTGGAAAGAAAGGATTCTGCATACAGTGCTGAACCAGACAGTGCTGGAAAAATATTTGAAATAATGGCTGAAAAGTTGCCAAATTTGGTGACATTAACCTATAGATTCAAGAGGCTAAGCAAACTCCAAAAAGGTCAGACCCCAAAATATCCACACCTAAATGCATCATAATCAAATAAATGCAATCAAAATCTCATGGGTTTTATTACAGATGTTAACAAGTTCATTCTAACATTCATATGGAAAGGCAAAAGAACTAGAATAGATCAGTTTTGAAAAAAGAAGAAAATTAGAGGAATCACACTACCTATTTTTAAGATTTACCATAAACCTAAAGTAATCAAGACAGTGTGGTATCATAGAAGGGAGAGACATAAATCAACATAACAGCAAAAAGATCCACACAAATATGGCCAACTGATTTTTGACAATGGTGCTAAAACAATTCAACGGAGAAAGGATAGTCTTTTTTATTTTTTTTATTCTTTTTTAAATTGTTTTTTTTTTTCAACGTTTATTTATTTTTGGGACAGAGAGAGACAGAGCATGAAGGGGGGAGGGGCAGAGAGAGAGGGAGACACAGAATCGGAAACAGGCTCCAGGCTCTGAGCCATCAGCCCAGAGCCTGACGCGGGGCTCGAACTCACGGACTGCGAGATCGTGACCTGGCTGAAGTTGGACGTTTAACCGACTGTGCCACCCAGGCGCCCCAAGGATAGTCTTTTTTAAAAAAACTAATGGTGCTGGAGTAATTGACATCTATATGCAAACAAAAATCTAAACAAAAAAAGGATCCTTTCCATTAAAACTTACACTTCATACAAAAATTAACTCTAAATCTAGATCTAAATGTAAAATGCAAAACTATAAGAAAGCATAGGATAAAATGTATGTGTCTTTCAGTTTGATGATGGGTTCTTAGACATTGTAACAAAAAAACATGATCCACACAAGAAAATACTGATACTCTTGATTTTGATTTCATCAAAATGAAAAACTTTTGTTTTTACTAAAGACATGGTTGAGGGAATAAGAGGACAAGCTATGGACTTGGAGAAAATATTTGCAAATCATGTATCTGGCAAAGACTTGTGTCCAGAATATGTAAAGAATGTTTAAAACTTAACCATAACAATCCAAATTAAAAGTAGGCAAAAGACATGAAATGGATGCTTCATTAAATAGGATACAAAAATGATTAATAAGCATGTGAAAAGAGGTTAACATCATTATCCACTAGGGAAATGCAAATTAAAACTATGACGACTGGGTCATAGGGTAGGTCTATTTTTAATTTTTTGAGGAACCTCCACACTGTTTTCCAGAATGGCTGCACCAATTTGCATTCCCACCAACAGTGCAAGAGGGTTCCCATTTCTTCACATCCTCTCCAGCATCTATAGTCTCCTGATTTGTTCATTTTGGCCACTCTGACTGGTGTGAGGTGATATCTGAGTGTGGTTTTGATTTGTATTTCCCTGATAAGGAGCGACGCTGAACATCTTTTCATGTGCCTGTTGGCCATCCGGATGTCTTCTTTAGAGAAGTGTCTATTCATGTTTTCTGCCCATTTCTTCACTAGGTTATTTGTTTTTTGGGTGTGGAGTTTGGTGAGCTCTTTATAGATTTTGGATACTAGCCCTTTGTCCGATATGTCATTTGCAAATATCTTTTCCCAATCTGTTGGTTGCCTTTTAGTTTTGTTGGTTGTTTCCTCTTCCCAGTAGTTGCTAGGAATTTACCCAAGGGATACAAGAGTACTGATACATAGGGGCACTTGTACCCCAATGTTTATAGCAGCACTCTCAACAACAGCCAAATTATGGAAAGAGCCTAAATGTCCATCAACTGATGAATGAATAAAGAAATTGTGGTTTATATACACAATGGAGTACTACGTGGCAGTGAGAAAGAATGAAATATGGCCCTTTGTAGCAACGTGGATGGAACTGGAGAGTGTGATGCTAAGTGAAATAAGCCATACAGAGAAAGACAGATACCATATGGTTTCACTCTTATGTGGATCCTGAGAAACTTAACAGAAACCCATGGGGGAGGGGAAGGAAAAAAAAAAAGAGGTTAGAGTGGAAAAGAGCCAAAGCATAAGAGACTCTTAAAAACTGAGAACAAACTGAGGGTTAATGGGGGGTGGGAGGGAGGGGAGGGTGGGTGATGGGTATTGAGGAGGGCACCTTTTGGGATGAGCACTGGGTGTTGTATGGAAACCAATTTGACAATAAACTTCATATATTAACAAAACAAAACAAAAAAAACACAACTATGATGACATACCACAACACACTTACCAGAATAGCTAAAATAGAAAATATTGCCAGTAAGAAATGCTGGCAAAGATACAGAGCAACAGGAACTCTTTCATAATACTGGTGGGAATGCAAAATGATAGAGCTACTCTGCAAATCATTTTCGAAGATTTTTGTGAAATTAAATGTGCATCTACCATATGACCAGGAATCCCACTCCTATCTAACTCCAGAAAAATTAAAACTCATGTCACATAAAAACCTAAATGTGAATGTTTTAACATTCGTATGTATGTATGTGCATATATCTATATCTATATCTATAATTGGTAAGAAGTGGGTGGGTAGGGGCATGAATATATAGGTATAGTGGGAAGAAGTTTTTTTGGTGATGAAACTTTTGTGTCTAGATTATAAGGGTGGATTCACTGAGAATTTAAAGAGCTAAAAACAAACAAATGAATGTAGTGTTCAGGTGTTTCTAATTTAACTACCAAACACTGGGATTTCATGACAGACCAAAAATAGTATTGTTCCTTTTCCGCTGATAAATAATACACATTTTTCATTTTACAATTTCATTTAAATTGAGGTGAAATTACATACAGAATAGTGTCACCAGATTTAGCAAAAAAAAAAAAATAAATAAATTAAATAAATAAATAAATAAATAAATAAATAAATAAATAAAGGATCCCAGTAACATTTCACTTCAAATAATCATTTGTAGTATAAATGTGTCCCAAATACAGAATGGGACATACTTGTTCTGAATATATATATATATATATATACACACCTCTGTGTATGTGCACACACACACACCCACACACACATTTATCTGAAATTCAATTTAACTGGATTATTTTATTTGATCTGGCAATCCTAATACAGAAAAATGCACAGATCCTAAATGTATATATTTGAATGAATTTTGGTAAATGTTTATACCCATACAACCAACACCCAATCAAGATACAGAATATTTCCATTACCTCAGGTTCCCTATTATCCCCAGCCAGTCAATCTTCATTCTCTCCATGGGCAAATACTATTTTCTTGTGACTACTTTTCCCTGTTGCTAACATGTTTTTAAAATTAATTCATGTTGTAGGAGTCAATAGTTCATTCTTTTTTATTGCTAATTAATATTCCATTGTAAAATACAGCAAATTTTAAAATCTATTCTCCTACTGGACACATGGCTTGGTTCCAGTTCGGGGCTATAAGCAAATAAATATATAAAGTTAAAAGCATTCTTGTGCAATTGTTTTGTCAATGTTTTCATTTCTTTTGGGTAAATACCTAGAACTGATTTTACTAGTTCATGGCTTTAATTTATAAGAAACTGAAAACTACTTTCCAGAGTAGTTATGCCCATTTATATTCTTCCCAACAGCAGGCAAATTGCAGTTACTCCATATCCTTGCAACTTTTACTGTTGTTAGCCTTCAAAATCTTTGACATTCCATTGGCTTTGTTAATTTTATTGTTTGACCATTTTCTATTTCACTGATTTCTGCCGTGATGTTCAGTATTTCCTTTCTTCTACTTAGTTTTTATACACTTTTTTTTCTAGCTAAGATGGAAACATATCGATTTTAAAACTTGTCTTCTAATATAGATTTCCAAAGCTATAATTTCTAAGAACTGCTTTACCTGCATCCCACAAATTTTCATATTTAATATTGTTTTTATTCAGTTAAAATAAATGTTATTTCCAAATATTTGGGACTTTTCTAGACATCTTTTTGTTAGTGATAGTGATTTAACAAAATTGTTTCTTAATGTTTGTTTTTGAGAAACATAGAGTGTGAATGGGGGAGGGGCAGAGAGAGAGGGAGACACAGAATCCGAGGCAGGCTCCAGGCTCTGAGCTGTCAGCACAGAGCCTGACGTGGGGCTCGAACTCACAGACTGTGAGATCATGACCTGAGCCGAAGTTGGACACTGAACCGACGGAGCCACCCAGGCGCCCCTGGTGATTTTTAATTTAATAGCCAAGCATATGGTCTACTTTGCTGAATGTTTCATACATGCTTGAAAATAAGGTCTATTCTACCACTATTGGGTGTAGTGATCTTTCAGTATCAGTTGGGTGCAAATGGTTTTTGTTCAAACTGTCAGTATTTTTGCTAATGTTTTGCCTATTAGTTGCCAAGAGGTTGTTAAAATCCACAACTCTGATTGTAGATATGGCTGTATCTCCCTTTTGTTAGTTTCTGCCTCCTGTACCTTAAAACTGGTATTCAAGGAATATACCTTTAGGATTTTGTCTTCTTGATGAACTATCCTTTCTTTATGAAAAGTCCTTTTTTATCTCCATTATACTCCTTTTGAAGTCCATTTTATCTTCTATTAATCGAGCCACTTGTTTTCTTTTGTTTTCTGTTTGTATAGTCTGTTTTTCCCCCATTCTTTTACTTTCATCTTGTGTCTTTACACTTAAAGTTTAACTCTCTTATAGACAACATATAGTTGGACCTTTAAAAAAATCTAGTTCTTTTAATTGGAGTGTTTGGTTTACATTTAAGTAATTACTGATTTGGTTAAATTTAGGTCTATCATTTTGCCATTTTTCTATTTGTCCTATATATTTTGTACCTATATTTCCTCCTTTCTTGCCTTTTTTTTTTTTTTTTGATGAATCATATATCTTTCAGTATTCAATTTTAATTCCTCTAATATTTTTTTTTTTTTTTTTTTTTGCTTCTGCCTTTCTTCTTTATTGCAGTTGCCAAAAGATTTCAATACATAACCTACATAGACCTGATCAGTCTACAATTAGTATTCCACTGCTTTAAATAAAATGTAAGAACTCTGCCACTCTGGACTGATAAGATTTGGTTTGGTTTTACTTTTTAATTTCAGTACTTTACAGATGTCCTTCTTTTGTCTCATGACCTCCACGGTTTCTGAGGTGAAGCAGTCCAACATTTATTGCTTCCCTGTGTGTAGTGGGTTCCCGACTACCACTCTTGGTTGCTTTTAAGATTTTTCTCTTATCTTTGGTTCTCATCAGTTTTAGCTATGATGTGTTAGGTCTTGTTTTCTTTACATTTATTCTGTTTGGAGTTCACTGAGCTTACTGGATCTATGTATTGATAGTTTCACCAAACTTGGGAAAATTTTGATTTTAACCTACTCATAATTTTTCTGCCCTATTTTCTCTCTCTTCTCCTTCTGGGAATTCAATTACATATGCATTGGACTGCTGAATACTGCCCCCCATGACTTTGAAGCACTGTGCCGTTTTCTTCTTTCCAGTTATTTTTTTAGCCTTTATTCATCAGGACAATTTCTATCCACCTGTCGTCTGCACTCTGCTGTTAGGTCCAACCATTTGGGTTTTTGCTTCCATTTCTCTGACAGCACTCATCTATATACATTCATTACAACTATTGTTCCTAGTCACTGTTGATATGCTAAAGAGACTCAATTTGTTATCATGCCCTAGAAGTGTTAAGATTTGTTCCAGCAGGCAGTTAAATTATGGACTAATCACCTTGATTTCATGGAGGATTGATTTTACATTATGTTAAAGGTTTTGTCTTTAGTTTTAGGCAAATCCTTAGTCCTGGGCATGGTCTCTTCTAATACACAGCCATTCTAGAGATTTGACAGAAAGCCTAAAGTGCTTACCAAGCCTTCTATCTTGACGGGATTCAAACTCAAAACTGTTTTCCCTTGCAATACAAAGCAACAAACTTTGCTCAGATTTTTCAGCCTTCCAGCTATGGCTTTCCACCAGGTTCATGGAGTCTTCCCCTGTACAAAGCATAATTCAGCAGTTAGCTAAAGAATTAAGAGGAGATTCGTATACAGACTGTAAGGCTGGCTCCTCCTTCAGTGCCATCTCCATTTCTAGAATTTCCTCCTCACTTTACAGCTCCTCTAGCAGCCCCCAATTTCTCTGACACCTCAAGCCAATAAGACTCTTGAATTCTAGCCTTCTCTTGAATTCTAGCCATCCCTTACCAGACAGACTGGGGAATGGCCTGAGGGAAAAAGCTATATATAAGTATAGTTCTCAGCTTGCTTTTGGTCATTCCCCAGTGTCTTCAGACAGTTATGTTTTTCCCAGAGTTTATAATTGGGAGGGCTTGTACATTACAAGCTATTCCACCATTACCAAAGCCAGAAGTCCTTCCTTATATAATTCTTCAATGCTTGCTTTAATGCCTCAGAAGAAAACAACACAGAACTGGTACTTAAATGTCCTTGGCTCTCTCCCTTTTTATGTAACAGATTAAAAACAGAATATTTCATATATATTTAAAATACCTTTTATCTCAAACGAAATAAGTCAGAATAATCTCTTGTTAATTAATGCTCCCAGGAAGTAGGGAAGTATATGTTCAACTTCCAATGAATTTAACAAAATTTAAGCTATGGTTGATTAAGCCATGGAAATATTCAGAGTTAGACCAACCAAACTAGCATCTAGCAAAGCTATTTCTGTTATGAACAAAAAGTACAAGACTCTACAGTAGTCATATAATATTATAAATGCAGAGTTGTTTATAACTAGGAAAAAGAATGTGACTACTTACATACATACGGTGGCATATTACTGAGTTAAGTGATATGACAAATCTTGCCTAACCCAATGTCTTCAAACTTAAATTTTTTAAAGCCATATTTTATAGTCATTAAGTTTTCCATTTGTCCACTTGGATGTGAAGATGCTATTTAAAACCAAACAGCAACTGTCCATGGCTGGCTGAACATTTATAATTCAACAATTATATAACCTCCAAAATACAGCAGAATATAAACCACATAATTAGAGTGTCAGCTAAACAAGACAAGGCAATTCAGAAAGATGTCATTTTGTGGCATGTACTCAGCTGAGCTTTAAGTAAGAGGACAGTTGGGTGGTACTTACTCTTCCCACCTCTGCTTAAAGCACTAATACCAACTACTGTCAGGACAATTCATCTTGTGGTCAGCACAGCTGACTTTTAAAAAAGAAGAAAGTTCCACATTGTATAAACTCATTTCATAAGTAAAAACTGCTTTTAAATAACAATATGAATATCTATCCGCAAGTTTTCAGGCTTGGTCTGCTCCATGTGTGTACATCCTCAAAAATCACCAAAATAGCAGCAACAGATGATGATGTCATAAGGAAAAAACTCACTGCCACAGGAAACTAAGTATTATTGAGTCAAGATCTTTCTTCTTGGTCACTTGTTTTATAATTATTAGGTACACCAAAGAACTGTTCATTATACAAATACGGGTATGTGCATATATGACTGAAACTAACATCTAACAATAGAAAATGTCTATGCTTCCATTCCATCAATGCTTTAGGATTCTGCGCTATTTTCTGGTATGGAAAACAGACTTAGCATCTCCATCTCCAATGGATGCATGTTGTCTCCTGTGATAATTAAAGAGTGTAACGGTCCTCCCAAGTCCACAGTACACATTTGCTGCAAAGTGCCTGCTGCAATTTTCTGGTCCTCAGCTCCAACCCTGGCTAAGCCAACACAGAGTGTCTTCTCGGTGACTGCTATTAAGAAGAAGAAGAAAAAGATACTGCCATTCAAATCAGCAATTGCATTATCCTGTCCAACATTAAAATGAACATTAGTACCAAAAGTACATTTAAAGAAGCCCTGAATATCTTAAATCTCCTTAGTCACATATTACAGACCAATTATCTATTGATTTACCTAAGGCTTTTCTAAATTATATGCACTACCTGACATATAAAGCAGTTCTTCCTAACTTTACCCTTTTGGAATTCCAAAGGCTTGCCCTAGTTTAAGTTTTCAGGATTTGATAAACAATTGCCTATATCCATACTCTTTACAACTGATTAGCATTTGTCTTTATTTTGTTTTTAATGTTTATTTATTTTGAGAGGAGAGAAAGAACATGTGCACATGAGCAGGGGAGGGACACAGACAGAGGGAGACAAGAATCTCTGGCAGGCTCTGCTCTGTCAGCGCAGAGCCTGATGCAGGGCTCGAACTCATGAACCGTGAGATCATGACCTAAGCTGAAGTCAGACGTTTAACAAACTAAGCACCCAGGTGCCCCAGCATTTGTCTTTATACAGCTTCTGAGTGAACAATGTTTATTATCTGCCCAAATATATATATATATATATATATATATATATATATATTTATTTATTTCTTAAGACATTTATATTTAATTTTTATTTATTTTGAGAGGGAGAGTGAGAGTGGGGGAGGGGGAGAGAGAGAGAGAGAGAGAGAGAGAGAGAGAGAGAGAGAGAGAGAATATCCCAAGCAGGCTCTATGCTTAATGTGGAGCCTGACATGGCTTGATCTCAAGAAACATGAGATCATGACCTGAGCTAAATCAAGAGTCAGACACTTAACCGACTGAGTCACCCAGGTGCTCCAAACCTGCCTATATTTTTAATAAATTGCTCGATATATGTTCCCAGTGACCAAGGTATACTAGAAAAACAAGAGGAGTATGAGATAAATACACAGATTTGAATTTTTGCTTGGCCACATAATCACCTATGTCAAACTTCAGTTTTCTTTTCATTTTTCAAAACATAATACTATCTTAAATGGCAGTTGTAAGGGATGAGATAACAGACATGAAAGTATTTAATAAACTACAGAGCCCTTAACAGATAATGGGCATAATGACATTACTTATGTTTTTAAGTGCTGACCTTTTCATGATTTTGTTTAGTTGGGAAAGCTGTCTTGATTGAACAATGATCAAAATGGGGCAAATGAGGGGCACCTGGGTGGCTCAGGTGGTTAAGTGTCTGACTCTGGATTTCGGTTCAGGGCATGTTCCCATGGTTTGTGAGTTCGAGCCCCAAGGTGGGCTCCAAGCTGGCAGTGCAAAGCCTGCTTGGGATTCTCTGTCTCGTTCTCTCTCTGCCCCTCCCCTGCTCACTCACTCTCTCTTAAAATAAAGAAATACATGTTTAAAAAATGGGACAATGATATCTACAAGGACAAGCAGGCATGCAAGTTTAGGCTTAAGTGTACAAAATTATGGATATGGAATACCCTTGCAAATTATTTGTTTCATAACTTTAATGAGACCTACTAATGAGAAACAAAATAAGCAACAGTCATTCAAGAATCTCTTCATGTATTTTTTCTATCAAGAGATTGGTGCTCAAAGGCAGTCAGCAACTTACAACAGAATATAATGACAAGTTCTTTTAAAAACCTCTCAATAAATGGAGCACCTGGGTGGCTCAGTCTGTGAAGGGTCTGACTTTGGCTCAGGTCGTGATCTTGCGGTCTGTTCAGTTCGAGCCCCTCATCGGGCTCTGTGCTGACAGCTCAGAGCCTGGAGCCTGATTCAGATTCTGTGTCTCTCCTTCTCTCTGTCCCTCCCCAGTTCTCACTCTGCCTCTCTCTCTCTCTCTCTCTCTCTCACACACACACACACACACACACAAAGTAAAAATAAACATTAAAAAAAAAGAATCTCTCAATAAAGATTTACTGATGACAAACATTTTATTATATACCACGTACTGTGTCTAGATATTATGAATATAAGGATAAATTCTCTTGTTTTTATCCTGAGGAAAACTACTCCCAGTCTCAGTGAGAACAAAGAGAAAAAGCAGAATAAGTATATTTTTGCAGGATAGATCTTACCATAAATTTAGGCTAAAAAGGAAGTTCTGCATTTTACCTATGTATTTATTAACATGTTTACATTAAACCTGATTTACTGTTAACTTGTGAAAAATCCTCACTTTCTTGAATGGTATTAATGTTCCTAGGAAGAACTCCAATATTTTTCCTTCAATACTATGAAATTTAAGTGAAAACTGAAAAAAAAAAAAAAAAAGACAAGAAAAAGTACTATGCAAGCACACTGAACCTGACTTCAGAAGTGGGGGGTGTGTGTGAAGTTGTACCATGTGCACATCTCAGTACAGCAGTGGGGAAACATGAGAACCCTTTTAGGGCCTTGAGTACCTGGCTCTTCTCCTCGTACTCGTTGATTCTGAACAATCTCCAGAAGCTGTCGGGCTGCTTGGTTTACACTCATATACCGAGGAGGTTCATAGATCTTCCTTCCCCTGTAAATATAAAACTAGATGCCACTGTCCTCAGCCATGAAATTACATAACACGTTTTTAATGCAGTTATTCCCCCAGGAATCCTCAGGTACCACAGTCTACATGGTTTGAAGCATTCACACATTACCCATTTAAGTATACACTAAAACATGAATACCATAATTGTTTAAGTTTAAGCTTTTTTCATTGTTCTACTTCAAGTGTCCTCTGATCTCCCCGAAATGCTGGCAGAAATAAAAGTCCAACAACTTAATGACAAACGTCTAAATCAAAGTTACTTTTATTTAAAGCGATAACCCAGGCAAAAACAGTTCAAATTAAGCAGCAATTTGTTCTAGATCCTGGCTTAACCAGGTTCTATCGTGTTCATTTTTATTACCATGTTTAAACCACATATTCCTCTTTTCACTTCTTCCTCTAAGAAAAGTAAACTAAAGTGGTAAATATCTAAAAATCTTGGAGGGTTAGATATGTTTACTTCTGATACCTCAAAGCCTACCACATCTGCCCATGATCATAATAAAAATACTGTTTTCATAGCTTACAAAACAGTTCATACAGATTATCTTACTGACTCCCCAAAAAATTCTCAAAGTCAGCACTGTCCAAGAGAAATATGATGCAAACCACAGAGTTTTAAATTTTCTAGTAGTCATATTAACAAAAGTAAAAAAAAAAAAGGCAAAATTAATTTTAACAATACTATTTTACCCACTATATCCACAATGTTGTATTTCAACATTTACTCCTATAAAAAGTATTAAAGAGATTATTTTTGTACTAAGTTTTTGACATCTGCTATTTCATGCTTATAGCATTAATTCAAGTGTTAAATTTTCATTGGAAATACTTAATCTGTATTTAAATTTCATAAAATTCATGGTTGCAAAATATTTACACAGTGAAGTTACTCCAAATATACTTTTCTAATAACTGAGTATTTTTATTAATTAAAATTAAATTATGAAGGCAGTTCCTCAATTACATTAGCCATTTTTCAAGCGCTCATTAATTATATGTGGGTAGTAGCTACTGTACTGCACATTGCCTCGATAAGCAAAAAAAGGATTTTAGCACTCATCACACATAGGAGGCAGACTCGGAAACCAAAGTAGCTTGCCTAAGAGCACATAACCAGAGGCAGACTCAGGACTCAAATCCACGTCTTCTTCTGACCACCAATTCATTAATTCACACCACAGATATTTACAGAGTGCCTATTAGGTGTCAACCACTGTCACGGTCCTGAATCCATGAGATCTATTGCTGATTCCACTCCATCACACTGCTTTTCACGTCATAAGATGAGGTGATTAATTTTTACCAGTTAAGGAAAGCTAATTTTCAACAATCTTTAGAACCCATGTCCTTTAAGTAGAATTTATTGTATAAGGAATTAGAAACAGACATAAGCATTCTCAGAATAAGAACTTACTTGATTAGATTTTCCAAAGACTGCTCCTTTACTTTGATGTCTGTAGGAAGTGAAAAATAGTTCTAATTAACTACTTTATCCAAAACCCCGTGTGTCAACTTCGGTAGACTCATTTAAATTTGGGGGAAGCGTTTTTGTCAAGTCTCCAAAATATTAATTTCAGAGCTCATGTCATTCTTCCGCCACACTTGTATCCATCTACTTTTTTATAGAAATATACAGAAGAATGGAAGCTTGTGGTGTGTAAAGGTCATTAGTTAGAAAACAAACATGAGGTGGCCCTAAGACCATCCTGAAAGGATCTAATTTCCTCTTGGAAAAGAAGACACAGGAAAGAGTTAGATAAATATTGGCATATACACTACCTAACAGCTAATCCAAATCTTTGTGTTCATTTCTACTAGCTGGTAAGTGCACAGACCCAACTGAGAAGTCTTCTTATGTTCCTATTCTTAACCTATTTTTCAGGCACTAGAACGTAAGCTTTAATGCATGTAATGTAACAGAAGAAAACTTTCACCACATTTTGAAAAGAAACCTTTGCTCTCTTGTGAATGGTTAAGACATGTCTAATAACTTGTAAATAAACCCTTTAATACCCAATATTCATAAACAGCGCTTTCCCAAGCACTGACTGCCAGGTATGGGGCTACCACAGAGGCCAGAACACACATAATCTCTGCTCTCATGAAGCCTGAAATGCAAGTGTCACAAATCCTTGATTCTTTTTACTTCTTAATCACTGATGCTCAGCCACACAGTTTGGTAAAAGGTAAAAAAGCACAATCACTCCACATCCTCACAGGAACTCAGTATACAACAGCAAGAGCAACAGCTGCTTCCTGTTCTACATGCTAAAAACAAATGGTTCAGCCAAAGTCTGCTTTTGCAAAAATAAATACACTGCAACTGAAGGGTCTTTTTGTTGGATTTCTACAGCTTTCCTAAGTGATTATCAAAGGTTTTCTTATGAAGGAGACTAAAGAGTTTCCTAGGAAAATACAGCAGAGGTTAAGCCCTTGTAAGTATTTGTAAATGTTCTTGGAACCAGTGGTGAATGTACCTTTCAGGTTCGAAATATCATTATTTAATTTTTCCACTTGTCTAGCACATATAAGAAAAAATGCAAATCAGTTATTGAAAATGGCCTGCAATACAATTAACAGACTTAGACTTCCTTTATATGGTACCTGCAAGATTTTTAAAAATTCAACACATTCATTTAGTTCATTCACCTTGAGGTTCTGAAATGTTGTGAGTTTTTAAGTATTTTAACTTTTTAAATGATCTGCTCTATAGAACCTGGTTTTAAGTATGAAGAGGGCTGGGGAGAATTTTTACAGGCAAATGCTTTTTGATTGAACATAAGACTACTATTTAATATCAAGCCAGACCAGTCTTAATACTTCTCCCTTGTCTTCACACAGGCCAGAATTATTCCTTTCTACTTCTACTTGCTAAAGGTAAGCATCTCCTTTTCACTTTAGTGCCAGCACCCTGCATAATTCCATATAAGTCTACTGAATTTCCATAAAAGTCTACTGAATCAATTTATTCATGTGGCTCTACTATTACCCACACACCAGCCTATCTTAAACTACCCCTGAAGTAACATAAGTCCCAACTCCTTCATAAAGCCTATGTTAACTTCCCCTCAAAAGCTCTTTGTTCTTTGAAATATCTATATAGTTATTACTATATTTTGTTAATCTTTAATTACATCATATACATCTGATCTTTTCAAGTAAATTTTAAATTCTCTGTAGTATCCTAACATGGTATATTCTCACTAATCCCTACAGGGTCTGGACCACAGCAGGCATTCAATAAATATATACTAATTTAAATGATGAGCATTCCAGATGATTAAATGATGAGATGTACGGTTTGAGGATTTGAAATCATATCTTATACTTCACACCTTGTTCCTGTTTTTGTTAATGGAGCAAGGAAGATATATTGTTTAGCCTTGTTTGTCTTTTCCCAGGAAAGCCAAGAAAAGGGGGAAGCTCTTAGAAAGAGAAATCGAGAGCCAAAGTTCTGGTTTGTCCTTCCTGCCTCTTTATACAACAGAACTTAATTGTTCTTTAAACTTTTGTGTACATAGCAACTAAATTTCAAAACCCTGAGGGCAGGACACATGTCTAATACTTCCTTAGTATTCCAAAAAACCCTAACTCTACAATGGGCATAAAGTACAGCATGATATAGTAAAAAGCTGTGAATAACAGGTTATCTGGATTCCACCAATTCCACCACTGATAAACTGGGTGACACAGTGGGAAAATGATTAAATATCTCTGGGCCTCAACTTCATCTGTAAAATGGGCTTCAATAACATGATCTTCAGAGTCTCTCTCAGATCTGTAATTCTGTGATTCTGATATCAATACTGTGGTATTCAAAAAACATCTTTAGGAAGACAAAGGATGGCACTTGGTAAGAATAAATGCTTAATACAGGTCTGCTGAATTGCAGTAAACTGACAAGAACAGGGTTTTGATGGATAAACGGGTAAGATGATAGAATGCTGGAGTGGATTCATGAGGGCATAAGAAGGGAGTAGCACGAATTATGGTATACACAAGGGAATAGCCAGGTGGTATTTGGAGCAGAAAATGCGTTATCTCCCTGAGAGTAAGGGAAGTATGTGGCACACAGAGCAGCTAGACCAGGTCGTTCCTTAACCTCTAGCTAGTTATGCACAGAACAGCTTTACCTGAACACAAAATCAAAATGAGAATAATACGATGACTCCATATTGTGACTTTAAGGAAACTCCAAAGCCCTCACCTAGTAAGCATAACGTGTGCATGCCGTTTTGTCTGTTCTTCTTTACTTTGTCAAAGAAGCTTTCTGGTCTCCAAGTGTCTGTCCAAAAAACAATAGATACCGTCTCTCCAAACTTATACAACTAGAAAAAGTAAAAACATTAATTAATGATAGAACAATTCACTGCTTACTCTTTCAAAGTTAACAACCAAAACATAAAGTGAGACCCAGACTTGAGATGAGTGGGGGATCAAATCTCTCACAAAATACATGTTCTCTTTGGTCCACAGCAGCTGGTGTCTCTCTGATGCCCTTTACAGTAGTGCCCCTAGTAGTTCAGCATTCAGTATAGCAACATATGTAACCAGTTCACGATTTAGCTATGTAGTTGCTAAAAATACTGAAACAGAACCCAGAAGGAAATAAACAAAGACGTTTGAGCAGTCAGAGCAGGGACTGTTCACTAGGTTAATTTTATTATCCTCACACTACAGACCACCAAGGCTCAGAAACATCAAGCTCATCTGCCCAGGGTCTCACAGCTAGTGAGTAATGAAAAAGACTCAAACTGAGGTCCAAGAAATGCTCCTTTCCACCATGACAGCTCAGGACAATTCAGACAGTATATTCGCTGTAGCTATTTCTTAAAACCTACCCCCTTACTTTACCCACGATTTGATTCCTCACTATAGAATTCAATGAAGGTTTGCCCAAACCTCCTCCTTTCCCAAGTGGCCTACCCACCCCAGTTGGCCATCACACAACCAAGAGGCTTGCTTTGTTCCAGCTTGCTTCCAGTCTGGCTGCACAGTTCACTGAAGTGAGCCCAACTCCACATCTTATGCTAAGAAAACTCAGTTCTGAATCCTAGTTCTGCAACTTGGTAGCTGTGTGACATTGTTCCTTCTAAATCTCTAAAATAGGGATAGTAAAAACATACTGTCCTTCCTATTCATGGGGTTGTAAACATGTAAAAAGTTATTCAAACTGTGAAGTAATATGTTAATATTAGTTCTTATCTAGTCACTGTGCAAAGGACAATTAGATTCAAAGACTTAATACATGGTAAAACATAAAACTAAAGTTGTTAGGTAAAGATTTAATTATTCATTTGAAACAGTGCTTGAAACAATTTATAAGAGCTGGAAAGCACTAGACACAGGAAATCAAGTCTAGTCCTCTGCCACAAACTGTGCACAGGACAGTACTGAACTTTTCTAAGCCCAAGGTTTTTCATTTTTCAAATGAAGAACTGGTCTGCAGAAGGGATTATCATCCTGAGGCTTCTCCAATCAGTGTTCAGAAGCTGCTGCAAGAGGTAAGGGGGAGGCAGAAAGAACAGAAACAGAAAAGCTGGAGCATTCAAGGCCCTCTATCCCTCCACCCCAGGAAAGCTCAAATTTTCTCACTTTTTGTACACTGAGGCCTAAAACCTGTAACTGATACTCTTAATGGTGACTCTGAGTTCTTAAGGGAAAGCTCATCAGGTTCCTCACATGGCCACAACTTCCAACTCACCTACCAATGAGCTTTATTCTCAAAGTCCACTTGCAAACTGTCTAAAAAAGATCTATGGAAGCCATGCCATCCTCTGGCAAATTCTCAGATCAGTATAGCAAGAGCCATGTAACTGCAGGAATTCAGAGTCATGAATCTTCTTGCCACGTATATAATGTTTCTCTGTGAAAAATGCATCCAGCTGATGAGTTCCAATGTGTTCCAATGCAGTCTTGCATATACCTCACAGAGCAGGCAAGAGCTCTGAAGTCACAGCGCTGGTTCTTAATAGATGGGCCACCATGGGGTGCCTGGGTGGCTCAGTCAGTTGAGCGTCTGACTTTGGCTCAGGTCATGATCTCACAGCTCGTGAGTTCGAGCCCCGCGTCGGGCTCTATGCTGACAGCTCAGAGCCTGGAGCCTGCTTCCGATTCTCTGTCTCCCTCTCTCTCTGCCCCTAACCCACTCACATTCTGTCTCTGTCTCTCTCAAAAATAAATAAACATTAATAGATGGGCCACCGTGGACAAATAACCTTCCCGACTTTCAAGAGAAGCTCCCCGGGAAAATGCATGTAACTATAAACCTAATAATGTGATTTTTTTAAAGGATTAAATGACATAAAGTGTGTAGAATGCCTAATACATTGCACACAGTAAAAACAATAAATGTTAGGGATTTGATGATATAATAATATGTTTATAATGATGATATAAAAATGGTCTAAAATGCTGTGTCTTGCTATAATCCAACTGCTTTCCTTACTGGAATGAGCTCAAAAATATTACCAAATATTTGAAAATAAGTTTATGATTTAGCTCTGATAAGTTCAACAGTTTACATTCTAAAAGGGATTTTTGGCATCTCTGATCAGACTTTGAAATATTGCTATTACTCTGTAAAAAATAAAACTATTGAGGTTAAAGAAAATTACGTATGCAACCATATATAAACACTTTCCTAAATGGGCCTTCAATATTTTAAGAGTCATGGAAATATACTCATGAAGGTAAATTCTTCATTCAGAAAGAAAGGGATAGATGATTTCTGAGAGAATTGAGATGCTAGTCACATATAAACACTAGCTGCAGCATGCTGTAGGAAAGCTTCTTGGAATTGTCTAATTTGGGGGATTAAAAGAAAGCCTCACATAAGCACTGCTTTCTAGGACCCTGATTTATAGACTGTAACCATTCCCATGGTTGTGCTGCAAACTTCTTCAATGAGTTCTGGAACATTATGCAAAGAGTTTCACCATTTAAGATGTCAGTCCCTCAAAGAACAGAAAGATCAGTGCCATGTTTCACAATCCAAGGACTTACCAGTAAACCATAAAAGAAACTGGAGTAAAACAGTGTCGAGAACTGAGGCTGCAGAAGTCTAAGCACTGTCTTATACATATTAGCCTTTGTACTGTAATCATTTTCCCCCAAAACAGTATTGATGCAAATCTAAATTTAGAGACCATAAAAAGAGCTGTTTTCTAAGAACAGTAGATAAACGCAGGTCTTTTTGTTTGTTTGTTTTAATCTGAAGCAAGTTATAAAGAAAGCAATTTATCCAACTTGATATTGGATCGTGTTTTTATCTGTTGAAGATAAAAACTCAAAATGATCTAATTAACATATAAAGCAATATCTAGTTAAAGCAAGAAGATGCATAAGAAAGATAAATATTAGGTAGTAAATAATAATTCTAAAAAATGAGACATAGACAGTACTGAAGGAGTTCAGCATTACTCCCACTTGGAAAGCACCTGAAGACAACTCCTGAAGACAGGATATAGGCTGGACCTTAAAGGGTGGAAAAGATGGGGGAACTTGATCTTGGGGGAAGAACAAGATGGTAGAAACAACTTAACAGAGGTGGGAACTGTTGGGCAATATTTAGCATGGTATTAAGCAATTATCTAGAAATAGCTATTGCCCGACTTGCCTCTAACAAGTATCTCTTAATTCCCGACAGCTTTACCATGTGCCAATTCCTGTCAATGCCAGCTCTATAATATATCTACAACTGACTTCATTTCTTTTATCACTACCTTAGTTTGAGTCCTTAATGCCACTTGCCTGAATGACCTTAATAATCTTCTAACTCATCGCACTGCCACCAATGTTTCCTTCCTTTCAGAAGCACAGAATGCTTTGTAAAATCCATTTTTATAATTAGGATTTAATACTTTTGTCATTCTACATTCAAATAAAAAATAGTTTGTGACTGGGGTGCCTGCGTGGCTCAGTCGGTTGACTGTCCGACTCTTGCCTCGGGTCGCAATCTCATGGTCATGGAAGCCAGCCTCATGTTGGGCTCTGCGCTGACAGTGCAAGCCTGCCTGGGATTCTCTTTCCCTCTTTCTGCCCCCTGCCTCAAAATAAACAAACAAAAAAAATAGTTTGTGATTTTCTAAGTTAAAAAATATCTTCTCAACATACAGAAAAATCAGAAAATTTAACTTGCTATTAAGAACTCTGTGGGGCACCTGGGTGGCTCAGTTGGTTAAGCACCGACTTCGGCTCAGGTCATGATCTCACGGTTTGTGAGTTCAAGCCCCGTGTTGGGCTCTGTTCTGACAGCTTGGAACCTGGAGCCTGCTTCGGATTCTGTGTCTCCCTCTCTCTCTGCCCTTCCCCCACTTGTGCTCTGTCTCTCTCTCTCTCTCTCAAAAATAAAATAAACATTAAAAAAAATTTTTTTAAACAACTCTGTGAAGCCCCACATGTATCTTTTATATATAAACATGAATCCTAAATCAGATCACTTAAATCTGTGAGGTAAAAGAAAGCTGAGCCAGCAAAGATGTCAAAAAACACACCACAAACCACATAATCAAGAGTTACTAGTTTTCTATACAGAATATTGGTCTTGGAGTTGTTTTTTTTAATCTCCACATGCGTTTTGCTTAACATTTATGTAACACTGATTTTGCTGACACTAAGAAAAATTATGCACATGCCCACTGCATACAAGATACATAAAGTTGAAGACAAAAGAGCTATAAAATTTATGTTATCACACATAAATGAGAGAACCCACATATGAATTAAATGAAAGAATTTTAATTTAAAGTACATAATTCCAAAAATAAACCAACTTGGGCTGGGGTGGGAAGGATAAGTAAATAAATAAGCAATTCAACTCAGCAAATATTTGTTGCATACTGATTATATGTTTTGGCACTGTGATAAAGCACAAAGGGAGATGTGAAGATGAGTAAATCAGGAAGTTTATGTGCCCAACACATAAACACATAAAGTAACTGAATATTCTGTATGGGATGACGATGTATCAGGATTGTGCAAGTAGAAGAATGGTACAATCATATCTGCAATTTAAAAATAAAACTATTAAGTGGGAGAGAAGATGGCTATTAAAATATTGACTAAAAACAGTTCCAGTGGAAATGGAAAGAAAAACATTTTTAATATGCCCATGATTCCGCAGGTGGTCAAAATAATTCCAAAGTGACTGAAAGAACAGGAAGCTTCCTCAGATGCGTTCTTCTAAGGTTACGTGGCAGTGTAGAGTGTGGATCCCCTTACTACCTAGTTTAGTGTTCACTGTACAAGGTTAGACTTTATCATTTCTACATTAGTCCCTGGACAACAATGAAATCAATTCAATGCTTTTGAAAACTAACAGTAAGAA